ACTGTTGAAAAACTGAAAGGTTAAAGAAAGTCCAGTTTGAACCCATCAGTTTTTTTAAAAAGTGAAGCTCAAAAAACTATAATGATTACTGCGTCATCTGCATTAGTGATTGTCAACATGCCTAATATAGTCTGGTCAGAAGTTTGTTCGGGAGGTTGCCAGTTAATAGCACAGAAGTATATGGCATCCTGAAAAGACTAAATTAATCTAGAAAATTTGGCTTAGGCAGAAGGATGTTTACCTTGAAGAATTTGTTCTCCTTTAAAACACTGCCAAAGCTTCTGCTAGGAGATGAAATATAGGCAATTGTTTATCAGTGCTACTGTTATTTAAATATACTGCAGTTTTTCTGGGATCTAAAGTTTGCAAGAATTTTTCCTTCCTATGATTTTAGAGCTTATGAGTCTATTTCTGCCTCCTCTCTTTACACAGTATCTGAGTTTGTGCTATACAAGTTCAAACAGTGTGTAACAAGCACTGCAACTACATGCTTATTTACATATGGCTTTGCCTTTGCTGATGTCCTTTGATTGGGGCTTACGTGCAGTTTGCTGTGCCTAGCTCAGTGAAGTATGGTTTAGCAAAGTGCATTCCAAGAGTAAACATAGTGAAAATTTTATCTTCCCTTTCCCCTTCTACGGCACACAAAATGATAATGTCATAATATATCGTTACATCATTAAACAAGGTAATTATTAGATCACAAATCCCTTCCTTGCATCTTTCTGGAGAGGTTTGTTCTTGTTTTGTATGTGGCTTCCTCCCCCCTTCTGAACCCTATTCACCTCACCTTAGATAGCAGCAGTGATTTTTCCATGTTGCTAACAAGCCTCTTCCTTTCTGCCATCGGTGTTCTTGAAACGCTTGTCCAGTAATTCTTGATAAAACAACCATCCTCACTTTATCAGAAAATATTCTGAGGGCTCCTTTTTAACTCCAGATGAAAATTCTCACTGAATTCCTGTAGACTCATATGAACAACATGAAGTTTCCAATGCATCTCTAGATAATTAGGAAGAAATAGTCTAAGCTTCAAATTACCTTGGAGAAGAGTACAATCAGGAATTAAATCCACATGCTTCCACAGATGAGGTGCATGCCACATTTGCCACCCTTCCAGCCTGTAACCTGCATCAGGGCAAGCTCAGGGTGCATCTCAGAGCCCACAGCAATAGGGTAATGTCTTTTTTTTTTTTTTTTTTTTGCTGCACTGGAAACCCCAGCAGCAGCACTCTTACCTTGCATGGCAATGGCAGCCTGCCTAAAGTGCAGCCAACCCACTCAGGTTTGCCCGAGCATTCGGCAGTGGTCTCCTACATCCGGCTGTATGCCATGAAGAGTTTCCTGTAAGACTGCAGCTGCCTGGGAAGGATTTCCTTGAGCTTCAGGCCACCTTGTAGGAGCATGAACCTGAAACAGGCACCCAAAATAACAAAATAACAATCGCCTGCAACCAGGGCAATTATGGATCCTAGCTCCAGCTTGTGCTTGGGATATATCAGGCTGCTAGTTCCCTCCTTTGGGGAAGGCAGCAATAAGGCCATGATACTTATTTTTTGCTCACCAGAATGGCCAAGCAGGTTCAACAACTGCACTGCTCAGGGACACGGTCAAATCCCATGCTTAGGGAAATTGCTCACCTCTCACTTAGGAGGACAGTGTGCCAAAGCGAGGCCAACCTGAGAAGCTCTTGTAGGGCAACAGCTAGGACACTGGGCTTTTGGTGCTTTCAGAAGCTGTGTGGGTAGAAGTCCCACTCGCCTCACAAGAAGGCCTCCTCCTTTTTCAGGGCAAAGCCAGAACTTCTAAGTAACTGGAGATTAAAAAAAGAACAAAGGAACAAACCAAAATGAAGTCCTTTACCACAAATGGAAGTGGGAAGCTGGAGAAAAAGAGAGGAGGGGAACACAGCTCTCTAGCATGGACCCATGCCAGCGTTTTAGCAACTGCCACCCAGCTGAGCTCTGCTGGGCCTGCTGTTATTGCTCCCTTCTTGCTAGACCCTGGAGGATAGAGAAATTTCTGGAGGATGGAGAAGATCCTGGAGGACAGAGGGAGTTAAATCCATTCCCTTGTCAGTGATACACTTGCAGTAGGCCCTGCCTGGGAGTGCAAGTGGGGAAAAAAGGCATTGGGGTCAGAAGATTCCACCATCTCCTCTGCAGCCCCTAAATGTCTGGCACTGCCTTGTGAGAGATTTCTTAAATAGCTCCCTTGGGTTTTCCAGAAGAGGCTGAGCTTGTGGCCTGCAGACCCAATAGCTCCTATTTGAACTTAAGAAGCAAAAAGCCCCATGCGATCAGGCAGGGCAGGTCTCCATTTTCTTTCAAGAGAGTTATGAGAAGGAGGAAGAGTGCTGCTCACTGCCACCACTACACTCTTTGTAGTGTTACAACTTCTTCAGTTACAACTTCTTTCTTTTTCTAGGACCCCTCCCGATGAGGGAGCCCTAACTCCATCTCCCAGCGTTGCCAGAAAGCACCAACTAACTCTTCTCAGCAAGCTGAGAAAAGTTTACCAAAAGGCAGGACTCCTAGTCACTTGCTTAGCACAGAAGTAATGCTAGCCTGAAGTAGCAAAGCTTGTTCTTCTATCAGGACATTATTATAAAGGGCGTTCTCTGTTGGTGAAGAGCGCTTGTAGGAAATCTCTAAGTGGACATAATGGACTCCTCCTAGAGGCAGCAATTCATTTTTGTGCAGGGTATAAACCTTGGAGAGAAGGAATCTCTTGGTTGAGCAACTGCGCTTTCAGATTTGGAGGGAAAGTCCTCTTCCAGCAATTGTTTCCCTTCTTCTTGGGCATGTCTTACAGAAATTTCTCTTTGAAAGGCTCTTTGTGGATTTCTCTGCTGGGTTATAAAGTTTAATCTGCTCAATTTTGTCATCCAGTTCCAATGGAAATACAGGTGTGAACTGAACTGCAAACTTCTGAGGTGACCAAAAGTGCAGAAAAGGGTGGAGGTTTGACAGGTACAGTTTGACCTGGAACTCTGCCAAGTACCTATAACTCAGAATTCTCTGACAGTACCCACTTGGGAACCTGATTATGGGCAGCACTGACCCAGTAGTAAAACTGAAAGGGTTGCTAAAATCCAGAGCCCTGCAAGGAACACCATGCTGTGCATGCATGTAAACCTGTCAGAATAGTTTTTCCTAGTGCTTACTAAGAGCATACAAGTGTCCGTGGGGAAACATCAACATTCCTTCTCAGAGGTAAAACTCTTTACTAGGCAATGTACAATCTCCCCTCTGTAGGCACCCTGCTTTTTGTCTCCGAAGTAACTTTACATTCTTAGCCACAGACTGCCCTATAGTGGCATAGCCAAAATCTGCAGCTCTACTGACTTTTACAGCAAATCATTTCACTTCCTTATTTAGAGTCAGTTTGCCCTTCACTAGAAGGACAGAAAGAGCCAATACAGATGATAAAATAGGGGGGAAAAATGAAACAAGGGAGAGTTTGGTCTTCAGTATAAGTACAGCGTGCACCGCAAAAATGAAGATCTCAAAGACAGCGAAACATCGACAGATTTTGAGACAAGTGGTCTCTGCACATGACTCAAGGAAAAGTAGACTGTACCGTCAGTATACAAATTGTTAGACAACAAAGAATCCACACATGAAAGTGACCTTCTAACTGCCTCAAGGGAAAAATTTCCGTCACATCTCTCAGATGACCCAGAGATATAAATCCTTAGAAACCCAGACTGAAGTAGAAACCAGGCTTCAGTAGTTCTGCAGCTTGCTTTTTAAAGTTTAAAAAACTTCCTCCTTCTTGGATCAGCTACTTCTCCCCCTCCACAGACATTAGCTCTCTAATGACAGTATTCTGAAGATGCAACACTACTTGTGTTTCATTTTCTGTGCTTCCTACCAATGTCTGCTTTCTAAACTGCAACACATTTGGCAGGGCTAACAGAAGCACAGAATGGATGATATCTAAGGAAAAGAGAGAGAAAAAGAGCATGAAGAGCTCTTTTTTTCACATGAAGAAGTATGTCCTGAAAGCACAGCATGTCTCCGTGCCACAAATTCTACCTTATTTAGGAAAGACGCTTTGCATTTAGGTTAGCTGTGACTCAAACAGGTTTAAGTTCGCAGAAAGGTAAGACACAATTAGTGTTCACTAGCAGAGACAATAATAATGCTAAATGCAGTCTTCACACACAGAAGGGGCGGAGTATACTTCAGATGTCTTCAAGATAGATGTCCATCTCTGAGCTAATCTTCAGTTCCCTTTACAGTCAGGCCAGATAAACAGGCACTTTAGAATGCAATCCAGCCAATCTCCTTTGGATATCTCCTTTAGTATGAGATGAATTAATGTCCAAAATGGCTATTTCTTTCCATTTGCTGTAGAGAAAGCCTAGGATGACTAGCTCAGAGATGGACATCTGTTTTGCAAAGGACTGAATTTGGATAGGTCTTACTAACTATGCATCCCTCAAAGTTCAAACACTGTGAATGAACCTCATACTCTCATAGCAGAGGAACTGTCTTCTCAGTGAAAATGTGTAATTGCGATGGAAAAAAGCAGCCCTTGAGACAGTACTAAAACACACACAACCTTGCTAAAAACAGTTTGGGGCTGCACTAGAGTGAAAGCTTCTTAAAGTCACTTGTATCACATCATGATGCTTTATTTATCTTCTGCTTGTCTGGTAGACAGCATCAAATACTGCCTCACCTTATATGTTGAGTCCTCCAGACAAGATCTTCATGTATTTTAGGTTTTAAGGAGCCACGGATTGATACTCAAGAGATCTAGGAAATATGTCAGTTGACTTCCTGCAGCTTGAAAAAGAACTTTCCTTCCCTTTTAAAACTCAAGGTCATCCAGACAACATGAGTAAGCACAAAACCCAAATTTCTGAAATGTGCTTTTAATCATTCAGAGCAAATAAGCTGATTACAAATGGACCCAAAAGACTATGCACTTGGAAGAAAGTTCCCCTTACTTTTGCACACAAATAAATTAGAGCATTGTTAGAAACAATCAGAGAACGCATAGGATACAATAACTGGGAAAAGCAAAGTTCTGAACTAGTCAAGGAAGATGAGAATGGTGCATAGTCCCTTTACTTGAAGGCTGTTAGCTTTTTCCCCTTCATTTTGATGTTAAGCTGATAGCCCTCTTGATACGGTTCAGAGCGCTCTCCTTGTCATTTTCTTCTGTGCTTGTGGACTCTTTGGACTTTGAGATGGACTTTGAGATGTCACATTCAGTGTCTTGACAGCTGCAGCTTTCCACATATACATACTTATGTCTTAGTGAGTGCCCAGTGGGGCATTTCAGTTCCACTTCCCTTACACTAGTCCTTGCTTCCCTGCAGCAGGAACAGCTGTGCTCCATAGAATTGGCCTCTGCAGAGTATCTGTTAAATAGGAAAAAAGGTAACATTATTCTGTGCTAGAAGACAGTATACAGTGGAGAGAGAGAAATCAGAAACAGAGCTCCTGTGAGGAGTTTGGAATAATATGTAAAAGAGCCACTGCTGTGGCTAACGAGTAGTGATGAGCTCATTTGACAGAATATTGGTGTAACGTAACACGCTTTTAAAATTCATTGCATTGGCTGGGATACTGTGGTAAGGCAGTTATTATCTAAGTCTGACTGAAAAAAAACCTAGTGAGTTCTATGAGCTCAGCTTCTTTAGGTTCCTTTTGTAATCCCAGCACAGATGGATGTTAAATATACCAGATCAAACACTTACGGGCAGATACAGCCATGACTGAAGGAGAAAGCGGCATACACAGCTGGCTACAATTGTATCATATGAATCACAGTGGCAATTCCAAACCAGACAGTACTACAGAAAGGGGAAGCAACAGCTCCTACTGTTTGTACCTCACAGCAAAGGACCTTTTGCAGCCTTGCGATCATCAGCTGCCCAAGAACCATTCCTAACCTGTAGAATCTGTTAATATCAGGCTGTAAACTGTGTCAAGAGCCATCTTCCTTTTATAATTTGTGTGCAGAGGCAACTACAATAGGACTTTGTCTGAGACCACGAGGTATTTCAAAAATACTAATTAACCCTCTGGCTCATCAGAGGGTTCAATCTGAGACTAACAATCAGTTTTCTGATACATTTTCTGTGATAGGCAACAAATGATGATTCCTTTTGGGAGTTACTGTTATTGATTATGGTCTTCCAGTGGGTTTTAATAGCTCTATACTAGGTATCCTACCAGTCACTTTCTTATAGCCACTTTCTTGAAGATGCTCTCATTTCAGAGAGAATGGAACTTCTCCATTAACACCACCCCAAAGGCAGCTTTTTCTCACTTCTTCACTGTACAAAAGTTGTGCATGTTTGAATCTTCCCTTTAAGATTCAAAGAAGTATGTGCATTTCATTTTATATGCTAATTCTTGAGAAGCAGCTTTTCAGCTAATGAGCATCAGGTTTGGCTTCTCTCTGGGCTCTCTCCCATTACAGGAAATATTCCATGTTCTGCTGAACTGATTTGTATCCAAGATGATCTGACACAAACGACAAACAAATCAGCTCTCAGTGGATAAAAATACATCATAGCTGTCTGAATTCCAAGAAAATCTAATACGCCTCTTCTCTTTCTGCTAAGATGACTCAGTCACAGATTTCATGATTTTGTGTCCATTATTTTGAGAGCTGTTCTAGGTCTTCTACCATTCTGTAGTCTATATATTTATTGTTCCTTTTATGTAAACCAACTCAGTGCCCACAGAATTCAAATCTCATTGTCTGATCAGTTTACTTACAGTGAGAAGGTTCCACATGTTCCTTCACATTCAGTCAAGTCAACTCTTGTCAGAGAATGGCAGCCCTGATAGACAATAAAGTCTTTTCTTTGACGGACAGAGCATGGTGTGGGGCTATCCAGAGGTGCACCTGTCAGGAAAAAAGATCAGAAAATACCTTCAAGTGAAACAGCTCCACAAGCTCCTTGCAGTTCAGCACACTCAAGGTCTCATTAGTTCACTAAAAGTACCGGCTTAAGCGTTCTTTCTGCTTCAGTTTAAACTCTTTCTGCTTCAGTTTAAACTTTTCCAGAGAGATCAGACACTGAATGCTTGGAACAACAAATATAAATGTGCAAGTATCTATTTAAATGTAAGCCTATCAGTCTCTATAACAGAAAACAGGTTGACTTAAGATGAAAATTCCTTCTCTGTACTGTTGTCGATTCACGTTCACTAACATACTTACATTTTTTACAGCAACCGTTAGGTAAGAATGTAACAGTTCCCTGAAAAAAACAAAGAAACAGCAAAAAGAACGGTATTACTTCCCTATAGTAATGAACTTTCTAAGCCAGTAACTGAGGAGAACAACTGGAAACTACAAGAGAGAACTGTAGAGATGATCTGAATAAACAAACGCAATGGTATCTTCCAGATTTGAAATCTGTCAATTTCCATAGGAACATGGAGACACAGATAATGCTTCGAAGGAAGTGAACAGTTATCAGCATGCTACTTCTACTTAGAAACAATTCTGAAACAGTTTTCTCAAACACTGTTGTATTTGAAGGGGAACATGCATGGTACAACCAGCAGCCTACTGACTGGATGGTTTGCATTTCTGTGACGTTCAAGAAAACATGGTTCTTGTTCAGACATGGCCCCGCACAAAGCAACCTGTGAGGACCTTACATCTCATTGTTGATCAGTTTTTAGGCTACCAAGAGACAGTTGCAGTAATAAGCCTTACACACACACACAGGTATCTTATACACACCGTAGGTCTGTGCATGGACGCAAAAATTCCTGCTCTTGGGACAGAGAAACTTTGGAGAAAGATCACCAAAATTTAGCGTTACTTTTTTGCTAGTTAGGTGGATGAACTAAACTGAAGTATTTATGCACTGAGGGTGAGTTTTTCATATCTACTTACAGGTTTGCAGTTCTCCTCATTGAATGCTGGGCAGGTTATCTCAGACGTGGAGGAGATAAGCTGATTGTGAATATTTACACAGCTATAAATGGTGCAGTTGTTGTAAGGATCATTTTTAAACTCTCCAGGCTGCAAGGGAAATACAAAATATAATAAAGAAAGCTGAAGGGTGCTCAAGCTAAAATTTTCTGTCCTTTGACAATGACTTTTGTTTCCCAGTCAATTATTTTTGGGTTAATATCCACTTTGGCTACAGCTTATTGCATGTATTGCAGGATGCCACAGCTGGGATTTCCCGTGGAGAAGAAAAATCCCTCTAAAGCACGCAGAGTGCATTAGAGTTAAGAACAATCTCACCTGTGCCACTGGATTTTGCCTAGGGAAAGCTAAAATTCCATATGGTGATTAAGAACAAGCCTGAATTTTCACCCCACAGAGGCAATAAAATTGCTCCATATGCAGGCTTTTCTAGCATTTTTTCAGCATGCAGAAATCAAATAATATAAAAAAGCACAAACTTCTAGATACTGCAAGAAAAATCCTTCCTATGGTACTCCTGACTTGTCATTTCAGGAAGAGCTTTCCAGAAAATTTAATTTCAGGATTTCATCTTTCATGCCAGAAAACGGTAGGTAGGCTTTACTTAAGGTGAGCCTCTGACCTTTCAGATGCAAACTTAATAACTGCGCCTTATCTCTGCCATTAGTAATTCTTTATCAAGTCTCTCCACACTTTCATAAAGACAAAGGGAATGTTACAAATTTGGTAGAGATATAAGATGTAGAACATACTTACACTCAAGATGAGGACAGAACTTTTTGAGGTATGTATAACACACTTAGTCTGCACACATTTTCCACAACATTCACCTTTCACTGGTTGACGCTCATATCCCTAGATATTAAAATTAAATTAAAATTAAAGCACTGTGATAGGTGCGTTTTTGAGGAATAACTGAAAACACAATAATCCATGAATTGATTATGCTTTGAAGTACACTCTAGATTTGTGCTTTCTGTGCTGGAAGATCACCAACCCCAAAGAAAACAAGTAATAGAAGCAGGCTATAAATAGAGTCAATTAAAACACAGTAATAAATATGCCTAGTAGTTAAATATTACTTTATCAAGTGTTCTACATAAATTCTTCAGGTAACTCTCCCCATGTGAACAGAGTATTGTTAGCTACGTTATCAAGCTGTACAGAATAGGTTGCTCAAGGAGAGTCAGTGTCCATGCTGGTGCTGGACTTTGGATTTCTAGCTCTACTTTCCATGTATATGCTCTTTTTTTGAATTTTTTTCTGAAGTTTGTCACTTACTGGTTCACAGTATGTGTCGCAAGGAACATGTTCACATGAGATGACATTCAGTTGAGTAGTGACGTTAACTTCATTAGTGCAGAAACAATTCTGACACTTATCAACAAAGACTGAGGAATTAGGCTATAAATTTTAAGAAACAAAGATTCATATATTAATGACATATGATATACGCGTGACAGACATTTCTTAATTCCTAAAACACCTCTAAACCAAGCAACTGAAAAGGAATCCACCACAAACACTTTGGGATAGCTATTTGGCTAGTTGTTTGTGCATACAACATACGTCCTATATAGGAAAGATGAATTCAGGTTAATTAGAAGGGCAGGTGTCACATGAACATCTGCAATAAAACAATCACTGAAACCAATAGAATTTATCAGGACTTTGAGTCTGTTTAGAATAGTCCTTCTTTACAAATCTTTTCATTTTCGAAAGCACAGTCTTAAAATCGCAATGAAACGCTGACACTAACTGCAGACTGAGTTTGTTAGACCTATACATACTTTATTCTAAAACCAAACCTCTCTCTGGTATGGACATTTAGAAACAACAGTTCAGTCTCTTTCACACAGAGCAATCCTTTTTGGAAAAGATTTAGACTTTGTGAAATTGATAAATCCCTGATAGGAATTTGAAATTTTCTTAAAAATGGAATATTATAGATGGAAACATCTTCATAGCACTTCTGTTAAAATATGCTAACTAGTTTCAAAAGCATTTTTACTGAAGACTGTTGAAATAGGAACTCACCAAGAACTCGGCATTTTGATGTACGCAAACCCTCTTGGAAACTGTTAAAGAGGGAGGAGTAGGAGGATTTGAAAAAAAAAAAAAAAAAAAAGAGTATACTATCTTCACCCCACTCCAGTCACACCACAATGTACATGTTCAACTATTTGGTTATTTCTCATTTCCAATAATAGATATGGCATACATAAGATATAAGCACAATCACTGCACATGCAAAAAGGGAGGAAGGTTTGACCTCATATACATAGTCCAGTTCATAGCCAAGAACGTCCACTTAACAGGTACAAGCAGTTCCCTGTGTCCATTACACAAATAACATCAACTTTGTAAAGCTATCTTCTCCTCAGCATACTTACAGGGATATTTTGCTAGGTTAAGCTGAGACCATAATCTCAGTTTATTCTGTAACTATTCTTACATACACTTGAAACTAGGAAAATTGATCTTGAGCCACATGAGCCATATCTGACTCCCTGTGCACCACTCTCTCAAGCTGCAGGGCCAGTAACCATCTAGAAGCTGACTGCATTTGTTAATTCTTTCAAGAGGGTATTGCATACAGTCTCCCTAACCCTTGATGCTAAAATACGTAAAATATAATGCTAATTGTTGTAATATATTTCTAAAGCACTTACCACACTGGTACGCAGGACAGCACTGGCCACTGGGAATATGAGAATAAACTTCAAATCCCAGCTCACACTTGGGGGGTTTGGTTGTGCACAAGCTCGTGTTGCATTCTGAAAAGAGGAGTACGCCAGAACGTACATTATATCATGGCTACGGACAAATAATCATCTATTAGGGTCCCACCTGAACATTTAGGTTAGACTTTCCATTGCTAGGGAATGTTCCAAATCCTCCCCAAAGGAAAAAAAAAAAACTGCAGATAGAGGACTCATTTTTTTCCTAGCAAATCCAGGCATTAGATGGAGGACTGCACTAGTTTATGAAACTTATTCTAGTATGTAATTACCAAGTGTTAGAAAAGTATCACAATTCTTTGCAGAGAACTAGTAGACAACTGTTACAGGACTCTGTGTCTCCGAGATTACAGGCAATTGCTGCAAAATGAAAATCCTACAGCTACCCAGAATTCTATAACCTGTCTGCATACTACTACAATAAAATGTGACCCTGAACTCAAGAACTGTAGATCCAGTTAAGCCACCGCAATATTAAAAGGAACTTCTCCCAACACTGGACAAACTGATTTAGGAAGCATGAGTGAAAACGTTATTTTGTGACTGTCTACTGCAGGCCTGCGGTGCTGAACTAGTTCAGTTCTCTTTCCTTTACTCTTCCTAAAGGGTAGTGAAATACTATAAACAAGTATAAACTCACTGCAGGTGATAATGGGGCAGCAGGGATCTTCAGAATTGACTTCAGTGACCTTATAGAAGCCTTCTCCATCACAACTGATCTTATTTTGTTCAGCACATTTGTGAGCCTCACATACAATGCCACTTCCACCTTCCAGGCAAATACAGTCTTTACAGTCTACTGTAAACTTTTCCCCATACTGTCATCAAAGAAAATAAAGAAAGCAATTGCATGGTTAGCAGTTAAAAGAAAAGAAATAAGAACAGGACTGAAAAGCTGGGAGACAATAAAGTAAGGCTGCTCCAGTGAAGACTGCTTCCCCCTCCCCCAAACCTCTACTTGGAATACAAAAACAAATAGCAGTATACCTCTCTTGGTATATTATCCAATCCAACACAACCTGTGAAAATATCAAAATAAATTTCCATTACCACTCATGTAACTACACATCTCTGTGTGGTATGATTAATGCATACCGTTAGATCTATGCTGTATGCACGAGAAGGCAACAACACAGAGGAAACAAAAATGCATTCAAGTGCAGTAGTAAAACTCACCACAAGTTTTTACACAAACATCCACACCAGAGTCATACAGCATTGTTCCATTAGGACAGAAACAGCCTTCCGCTTCTTTAGTTTCAGTTTGGTTTTGCTGCTCTGGACTGCGTGAGACAAAATGTTCAGAGGAACACCATTACTGTCACAGGCACGCAGAGGAAAATTAAGCAAAATACGCTTTAACAGAAAATTCAGGGGCAAATGATCTGCAAATCTGTGATTTAGGGATTTGTCAGCATTCTTGTTTTGGTAAACAGCCAAACAACATAAAAAGTACAGGTACCCAGATTTCGGATCAAGAGAACAGTGGTAACAACTTTGCTAGTCAATTCAAAGGACAATAGGAGGCTGATTGACTTCCCTTATCCACCTATAAATTAGATATGACCGAATAGTTCTACGAGATGGAACTAGCAGCGAAGGAACTATTTACCTTGATTTACAGGTCAGCTCTTTAATAGGACCACATGCTCTATATTCCTTGTGTGCAGGGCACTTATAAGCTGAATGGGAGAATAAAAAAAGAGGAAGAGCTCAGTAGGAATATCATATAAAAGCCTCAAGACCTTATGCCACTTATGCCAAGAAGCTAAACCCTAACTATTCATTTTCCTACGTATCTTTGACAATCTTGACCTGAGCATAAGCAGCAAACTGTTAAACAGTTCTCTGACTTATGTCTCTGAGTGAGATTATTTTATGCAACCTAGGCCTAGAAATAAGGTGCCATAGAGATTAAGGCCAGGATTCTACATCTTAATTACAACTTTTTTCATGGTTTGGGATTTTTTTGTACAAGTTCTCAAAGGGGAACGCATTCCTACCCTTCATCCTCTTCTTATTACACTTGAAAACTAACAGACGTCATTAAATACAAGAGTGATTCATTGATGCCTGCAAAATGCACAACTGCCTGTGCAAAAATGACGTGTCTATTGATAAAGCTGTCTCTGACACAGTCAATGGATGTATACTTCTGCAGGCTCATTTATCACTGCTACTGTAAAAAATGTTGTCTATAAAATTACTAGAGGGAGGTGTTTTTGTTGCTTACAAGGCAATATTGACTTACAGTCAGGACAGTTGCTGAAATAGTTCCCTGTAAGATTCCCTAACAGTTCAACAGAAATGGCAAAATACTTACAGCAAACACCATTGGTATGAGTTCTCCAGTCAATGCAGATGCCTTGATCAGCACAGGTGGCAGCATAGACCTGCAAACTTGAGCATTCCAGGTCTAACTGGGGAAGTGTGCAACTGTCAAAAACACAGGCTGCATAGTACTTCTCAGGATGAATGAATTTGTGGCACTTCTCGAACACACTAGCAACAGAAACATATATATTATTAACTACTGAATAATTGATGTAGTCTTCATTGTGCTCAATATGTTATAATGTGGCAGAAGTGATACTCAGGGAGATGTGAACAAGAACTATAACTGAGAGAGTTTTCCTAAGAGCACTTGACAAGAATGTAACCTTCCAACATATTTTAAAGCATTTTCTCTCTATCTCCAAAATACTCAGGCACCATTATTTTCTGTCCAGGAGCCAGATGAATATTATCAAGTGTAGCCATGCACTACACTGCCAAATAGAGCCTGAATTTCTTTTTCTTCCGATACCAGGTTCTAAAAATGAAGATCTCTATCTTCAGCGGGTCTCTGCTGCTGAGTGAGCACAGTAAAAGTCAAGTGCATAGCACAGCGGAGGGCAGACAGCATAGAAAAACGTGAGAACATCAAGGAAGGCTAATGTGGCAGTCATATACATGGAAGCAAACTAAACCAGCAAAGAAAATGACATCTAGAAACAACAAAAGAGGTGGAAGCAGCCCCAGAGCTTCAAGAAATATAGAAGAATAGTTAGGAACACTTTTTTTCTGAAGAAATGAACCAAAATTGGCAAAATTGCCACTTAGTTTGAAGATCAAGGCTTATAAACATTGAGGAAATATCTACCTTCCTAAAAGAAGCTGGCAGATTGAAGATTCTTTGCAGGGCTGGCCTGTGGTTGTGCTAGGCACCTTTGTAGGAACTACGACTGAAGAGCACTGTGGTTTAGAGGGATCGACCACTTGCCAATGATCTGCCATGGTTTCGCAGTTTTCTGCAATGCTTCCATTTGGTAACATGCAGTCATCTGCTGTGTTGTTATTGCAAGTACCTAAAATTGGTAAGGGGAGAAAAAACTCACTTACAGATTTGTTCTCAAATTCCATTAATCTTTGTGGAAGGGTTGTAATTTCCCTGTTTGCTGTTTTCTAAGAGTACAAAATTATTATAATAAGCCTTACCACACTGTCCTTGAGTGTTGTTGCCAAATAGACTGTAGGGCATTCTGATAGAAAAGGACAAGCCATTGTAGGTTACATTCATCTTAAGTTCAGGAATTTCCACCACACGATTTATGCCTGACTCATAGACAGTCAAACCAAATTTTTTGTAAGGCAAAGCCACTGCCTGTTTGTTTACTGTCACCTACAGTATACAAAAGAAAACAGAAAAGAGACATATATTTAGCTTGGCTTGAGAAAATAAATCAGTTGCTCATTACTTTGCACTGGAGATAGAATGACAGAACGTGAAGGCAAATAATGTGTTTTTTGTCCATAGCAAGCGTCCCTGCTTCCTTTTATGTTACTGCAAAGTCAAACTTCTCAGAGCCAAAGAAAAGGCCTATCAGCCACTGATAAACAAGGTTTTTATGGTTTAAACCAGCTAAAGGCTAACACTACAGATTTATTAGAGTGACTATGGCATTGAGGATGTCCTCTAAAAATGCAATATAAAATTCTCTTGAATTTCTAGACCACAAACTTTTAACTTTCTTGGAATCACCAAAAAACACCTAAAGAAAGGGAAAGTGCCTTTAAGAAAATTAAATGAAAGAAATAAGTCAAAATTTATATTGCTTATTTAAATACAACAGCTATGATAAACCTATGGAACTAACGCTAATATTCAGCAAAGATAGATTTCCTTGCGAACGCAATTATCAGGTTCATGCTGAATTAATATTTCAATCAACATATAAAAGGCAACATTCTCCAATACCTCTACTTTTAGAGAATTTGGTTGGACTGTTGCTATGCGCACTTCCTGAGTTTCATGTCTCACAATGAGCGTTCGTGGGCAGGAGACTGCATCATGTGCATTACAATGGTAGTTATCAATGTAGACGCCAAAGTTGTCAACTGATTTATTAATCTCTTCCACAAGGACGTATGTACAATTCCCTTGATAGCTGTAGTACAGTCCATCAAAAGTCACGTAATGCGGGTCTCCCCAGCCTGTGCAGTAACCTACCAAGACATTCAGTTAGGTTAGCTTTTTACGGCAACGTACAGAATCAGATCAGACTATAAACCACATCTGTAGGTGTGGGATTCATCTCATTTAACTTTAAAAATTACACTTTAAAAAGTGTAGATATCAATTTGGGAGCTAATTGTCTGGAACTCATCTCTAAGAGATGGAGAAAAAGAGGCACTTTCAGGGCACAATACATCCAACTTATTTCTGATATATAGCTGAGAATAAGATGAACTGTATCACAGAAGTATACTAGCAGCTAGTCTAAGCAAGTAATTCTTATTCCAGCCTATAGATGTCTGCATCTGGACATAAAAATCCTACCTTGGGAGACCAATGTATTTTAGCAAGACAGCAGTTACATAGAAACGATGCTATCAAATTAGGTAAAATCCCCAGATTAGCTAAAACCAATCAATGTAGCACTCCAAATAACTCAACACTGTAAGTCTGAGGGTCACAGTCCTCACACAGTCCTGAGGTCTTCCACAATCCCTGTTCCATGACATATTGTTCTTGTCGCTACCAATGATCCCAGAAGAGAGAAAATATTCCACAAAATATATACTTACAATCACACTCCCAATGCCAACAGCATCCATCCTTATCAATAACTTTCACAGGGGCAAGGCCATTGGTACAAGTAGGTTTAGGAGGTGGATTACAGATTACTGGAATCACCTTGACCTCGTTGTCTTCTATACATATGGCCTTTAGGCATTTACATATCCACCATGAGTCACCTGACTGTATTTGGAAAGAGGGAGAGAGAGAGAGAGAGGGAGAAAAAAAAAGGGAAGCTTTATGAAATAGTCAGACTGGTAACAGTTACGCTTGAATATCTTTTGCAGAGTTCTGAAACAGAGTATATTTATTGACTGTTTTCTTCTCAGAAGACTGAATTTGGGAACTAATTGCAGCACCCAGCCTCATCACCAAAGCCTGTAAAATGAGCTAGCTCCATTGACAGGTGATAAGTGAAAGGCATTAATTGTAAAGAGTCATGTCAGTAACCAGAAGGGGTAATGTTTTTTAGCTTCAGCTATCTAAATGCTAGATGTCTAATCCAATCTCAACATCTAGGCTCCCTCTATCACCTTCCCTGGACGCCTAAAACAGATTAAGCAGCTGAAGCTACAGAGAACATCAACTAATTGGCATGTAAAGTCTTAAGATGATTATATGTGTGCATTGTGATCATACACAGCTTTTCAAACTTCTGTCAGTTTTTCAGCCACAATTTACTTTTTCAGCCACAATTTACTTTTATCACTGAAGCTCTACTGATGGCTGCAAACATCTTAGCTGTGAGGAGGCTTTAGAACTGTATGTGCCATGAGCCTGAGTGTCAGAGATGGAGGCTTCCAAAAAACTAACTATAGTCAAATCTCCCCACTCTCTACCTATCAGAAAGGAGAAATGGAAAAGGTAATCAAGGGCTAATTTGCGCTTCATTATCTCTTCACCAAAGCTCCTACACAATAAACATTGAGCTGTGATCTATTCCCTGAAGAAAAGTCAATTTAAAACTATCCTTGGAGGACTAATACTAATATATGAGCTACAAAACCAAAAATCACTTCAAGTCATGCTGATATCCAAGAAAATAGCATAAAACAGATTGCTCTGATATTTTCTTTTCTATCCAGAATAGCATCTACCTCTACGTAACTAGCACTGTAACTATGCATAAGGTCAAGGTAATATCCAGAATGTGCCAATACATAATTGAAATACTAGAAAAAAAAACCTAATCTGCAATTATACTGGCATGCACAGTCTCCGTTCAAAACAGAATACTAAAAAAAAAAAAAAAAAGCACATGAATTTTACTAACCGAAAAAGTCTGATTAGGGTAAATAGAACAATTTTTTCCAGGGGTGGTAGGTGGTACAGCACTTGTTGACCTAGCTGTAGTAAATGTATTGTAAGTGGAAACTTCTGAAGTGCTGCCTGTGCTTGAGACAGTAGTTGGCCCAGAGGTACTAGTTGAACCAGGTGAAGAGGTGGTGGTAGTTACAGGGGTAGTACTGGAACTAGTAGGAGTTGTTCCTGAAGTGGTGGTGAATGACTCTGTTGGAGTTGTTCCAGAAGTAGTAGCTGAAACTGAAAAAGAGACCATTAGAGATGAACTTGACTCTACAGAAGCTGTTTCAGAAAAGGTGGTAAAGCTGGCTGATATCGAAAAAGGAACAGATGATCCGAAAAACATACCAGTGGATGTGACTTCCGTTGCTACGGGTATCGTGCTAGACACTGGAGTAGTTCTAATTGATGTTAGGGATAGTCCCAAAGTGGTGGCTTCGGTGGTTGATCCGGTTTCAGTGACGCCAGACGTTGTGACTGACGGGGGGCTTGTTGACCCTGGTGGCAATGATGGACCGGTGGTTGTGGGCAACAGGGGGGACGAGGTTTCTGAAGAAATCGTCGTAGGGCTGCTGGTGCTGGTGGTAGCTGATCCTGTCGGAGGGGGCCCAGTGGTCGTGGTTGCTACGATCGTGGCTGTGGGGGAGGTCGTTCCTGAGGGCGTGGGTCCACGCGTGGTGGCTTCGGTGGTTGATCCGGTTTCAGTGACGCCAGACGTTGTGACTGACGGGGGGCTTGTTGACCCTGGTGGCAATAGCGGACTGGTGGTTGTGGGCAACAGGGGGGACGAGGTTTCTGAAGAAATCGTCGTAGGGCTGCTGGTGCTGGTGGTAGCTGATCCTGTCGGAGGGGGCCCAGTGGTCGTGGTTGCTACGATCGTGGCTGTGGGGGAGGTCGTTCCTGAGGGCGTGGGTCCACGCGTGGTGGCTTCGGTGGTTGATCCGGTTTCAGGGACGCCAGACGTTGTGACTGACGGGGGGCTTGTTGACCCTGGTGGCAATGATGGACCGGTGGTTGTGGGCAACAGGGGGGACGAGGTTTCTGAAGAAATCGTCGTAGGGCTGCTGGTGCTGGTGGTAGCTGATCCTGTCGGAGGGGGCCCAGTGGTCGTGGTTGCTACGATCGTGGCTGTGGGGGAGGTCATTCCTGAGGGCGTGGGTCCACGCGTGGTGGCTTCGGTGGTTGATCCGGTTTCAGGGACGCCAGACGTTGTGACTGACGGGGGGCTTGTTGACCCTGGTGGCAATGATGGACCGGTGGTTGTGGGCAACAGGGGGGACGAGGTTTCTGAAGAAATCGTCGTAGGGCTGCTGGTGCTGGTGGTAGCTGATCCTGTCGGAGGGGGCCCAGTGGTCGTGGTTGCTACGATCGTGGCTGTGGGGGAGGTCATTCCTGAGGGCGTGGGTCCACGCGTGGTGGCTTCGGTGGTTGATCCGGTTTCAGGGACGCCAGACGTTGTGACTGACGGGGGGCTTGTTGACCCTGGTGGCAATGATGGACCGGTGGTTGTGGGCAACAGGGGGGACGAGGTTTCTGAAGAAATCGTCGTAGGGCTGCTGGTGCTGGTGGTAGCTGATCCTGTCGGAGGGGGCCCAGTGGTCGTGGTTGCTACGATCGTGGCTGTGGGGGAGGTCATTCCTGAGGGCGTGGGTCCACGCGTGGTGGCTTCGGTGGTTGATCCGGTTTCAGGGACGCCAGACGTTGTGACTGACGGGGGGCTTGTTGACCCTGGTGGCAATGATGGACCGGTGGTTGTGGGCAACAGGGGGGACGAGGTTTCTGAAGAAATCGTCGTAGGGCTGCTGGTGCTGGTGGTAGCTGATCCTGTCGGAGGGGGCCCAGTGGTCGTGGTTGCTACGATCGTGGCTGTGGGGGAGGTCATTCCTGAGGGCGTGGGTCCACGCGTGGTGGCTTCGGTGGTTGATCCGGTTTCAGGGACGCCAGACGTTGTGACTGACGGGGGGCTTGTTGACCCTGGTGGCAATGATGGACCGGTGGTTGTGGGCAACAGGGGGGACGAGGTTTCTGAAGAAATCGTCGTAGGGCTGCTGGTGCTGGTGGTAGCTGATCCTGTCGGAGGGGGCCCAGTGGTCGTGGTTGCTACGATCGTGGCTGTGGGGGAGGTCATTCCTGAGGGCGTGGGTCCACGCGTGGTGGCTTCGGTGGTTGATCCGGTTTCAGGGACGCCAGACGTTGTGACTGACGGGGGGCTTGTTGACCCTGGTGGCAATGATGGACCGGTGGTTGTGGGCAACAGGGGGGACGAGGTTTCTGAAGAAATCGTCGTAGGGCTGCTGGTGCTGGTGGTAGCTGATCCTGTCGGAGGGGGCCCAGTGGTCGTGGTTGCTACGATCGTGGCTGTGGGGGAGGTCATTCCTGAGGGCGTGGGTCCACGCGTGGTGGCTTCGGTGGTTGATCCGGTTTCAGGGACGCCAGACGTTGTGACTGACGGGGGGCTTGTTGACCCTGGTGGCAATGATGGACCGGTGGTTGTGGGCAACAGGGGGGACGAGGTTTCTGAAGAAATCGTCGTAGGGCTGCTGGTGCTGGTGGTAGCTGATCCTGTCGGAGGGGGCCCAGTGGTCGTGGTTGCTACGATCGTGGCTGTGGGGGAGGTCATTCCTGAGGGCGTGGGTCCACGCGTGGTGGCTTCGGTGGTTGATCCGGTTTCAGGGACGCCAGACGTTGTGACTGACGGGGGGCTTGTTGACCCTGGTGGCAATGGTGGACCGGTGGTTGTGGGGGATACTGTACTGGGTTTTTCTGTAATCCTAGTTGTTGGCATCGATGTAGATGAAGGAGTAATAGTAGTAGATGTGTATTGTGTTTCTTTTTTGGTATACGTTGTATTTTTTTTTAAGAGAAAGAGAAAATATTATTTAGTAAGTCAGGCTTTTTCTTTTTTTAAATCAACTTTTTGTCTTTCTCCAATAAATAAAAGAAATTCTACAAAAGCCTATGGATACTAAATTAAACAGTAATCAGAAAGAATTTTCTTAACGGATATTTATTAATGCATGAATTATAACAAAACCTTCCAAACCTTGCATGAGAATCAGTGATCTAACAGTTCACATCCAACTGTGTTGGATGGATCAGCTCTCTGGTTTGTTAGTACTCTTATGTTGCAGAGAAAAATTCTGCAGTCCTAAATCCAGAGGTCAGCAAGCTCTTTGGTTACTTCTATATTGCTGTCATGATGTACTCTAGGGAGAGATCACTATTCATTGTGCCACTTGATGTGTCATACTCAAACCAGCTCTGCTCATGCTCAGGGTCATTTGGCTCCACTAAAACTAAGCAGTACCTGGAGCAATCTCTCTTACCTTGTCTCCCAGGCCTTTGAAACTACCCACTCACATGCTATTTTGGCATGCTAGAATCCTAAACTCACAAGCAATCCAGTTTTCATTACATGCCTTAAAGCAGGCTCCTTTAAAATAGCTTTTGAGCGGCACTTAATAAATTGTTCATGACACTCAGAGGCTGGGCAGAGCATGAAGGATGAAAAACTTTCTCGGAGCCCTATTAAGTCAGGGAACACAACAGAATCTCCCCATGACCACTGTATGCTTTTTCACTTCAGAGTCAGCCCCAGGAGTAGCTATGGACCCAGCTGTTTTAGGAAATGCACAGTATCAAACACAAGGCGCTGACAAATCTTGGTATCTCCCATAGCAAGGTGGTGCATGTTGGCGATGGTGAGGGCGTACCTGGGGATGCTAGAGTGGGTGTTTGGTCCACAGCCACCAGGGACAAGCAGATGGATATCCTTCCTCAAACCCAATCCCTCGCAGCCTACTGGGGAAACCTTCCCTCCTAGATTTGGAACTGCAGACAAATGTCTACATGGGCAGCATGGGAAAGTGAAGCAACACTGCGCAAATGATTCTTAAAGGAAAAGGGCCCCTATCAGTCGTCCATCGTATTTTTACACAATGGCTCACCGCGATAACCTCTCCTGCAGCAGAAGGACAAAGCCCAACACCAGCAGAAGATGGACTGCCCGTTAGCTCAGTAGTGGCTAAAGGTAGAGAGTCCAGGGTAAAAAACCTTCACAGGCTCAAGCTAACCAAGAGAAAAGTGTACTATGAATGTTTTCCTGCACTCTCCCTGCTAAACAAAGAAGTGAAATGGACAACTCCTTCCCAGACTACTACAGAGATGACACGAGGTGCTGAAAGAGCTTGATTTCTCCCACAGCAAGACAAGATCAGAGAGTATGGATCAGACACTTACTCTGAGGTTCAGAGGTTGGAGGCGGTGGGATCCTGGTGATTATACTTGGTGTTGTACTAGTGGTGGGAGTGGTAGAGATGGTGCTTGAAATACAGTCCGGTCTGTTTGGGATGCAGCAGACACTGATCTCATAATTGAGGCAGACTCGCATTGGGATCACACCCCCTATGTCTTGGTCTTTATTCCTGCAAGTGAGCCCTTTGTTAATGTCGCATTCCACTTTCTGCCCTAAATCTTTGATGGAATTGTCCGGGAATTTCTTTGCTCTGCACGAAATATTCTCAGGCTTGGCACACACCCAGAGAGGCTCATGCTTCTGGATGTTCTCATAGGATTCATCATCACCACCATCTTCACCCAAAGATGGATAACTCACATCAATCCAGCCAGTCCAGATACAGTCGCAGGATGCTACAGGCAGACATCAACAAAACCATTAGGAACAGCTGGGACGGAGATAACTGGCAAGGGTGAAAGAAGATATGAGGGTCGCACATGGGATATATGCTGCACAGAAGGGGCCAACTCAGAGTGTTGCCACACACCTACCAGTAGTCAACCCACCCTGGCCTCAGCAAAGCTCACCTGTATGACCATACTTTCCCCTCCAGCCCGACAAAGTGCCCTCATGAGAAATAGTCACAGAGCTAGGCACGGGCCATCTGCGCTCCACTGGTGAGCCTGCAGGCACTCCGGTCACGAGCTTCTCACGTGCAAGAAAACCCAGGTGGCACGGTATGACATGAGGCGGAGCAAGATCCCGCGGGACCTCTTGCTTCTGTCTCATCTCCTGCCACTCAGTTCTCCTTGCTAACTCAGGGAGAAACCACTGAGAGTAAGGTCGGGACTGGATAGCAAGCAGATATTCCTGACTCAGTGTCGGCTCGCTTCCCTATGATGCAGCACAAGAAAGGTAGAGGTTCACAGAAGCACTGCGGGGACTTCTCATCCAAAGGCAACAGTTCACAGCCACTGTCAAAATGTGGATTTAAACCCTTCGCTGAACCTCCTTCCCAGAAACCTGCTGCACGTATGTCCCATTAAGGGACCCCTGCAGAAAGGGCCAACTCAGAGCACTGCCAGACACCTAGAGCGGTCAATCCAGCCTGACCACAGCAAAGCTCACTTGTATGATCAGGCCTTCCCTTCTGGCTCCACATAGCTGAAGAGGGTCAAACTAGTGCAGAGAGTCAAGCCAACTGTTTCTCTTCAAGAGTGGTGGGACATTGCTGTGATGGACTCCTCAGGAAATCAAAAAAAGCCACCAAAGGATAAGACATGAGGAGGAGAGTGTACTGTCAGCTGCAGTGGCAGGCAGAGGGAAGAGGTTCATAAAAATACTGGTGAGTCTCAGCAACCAGGGACCACAGTTCACAGCAAGGGACTCTCATCAGACTGAAACCCTTCTCTGAACCCTACCTAGGGAAACTAACCTTCCTAGATCCAGAACTGTAGGCAAGTGTCAGTGCTGATACAGAAGGAAAGTAAAAGGAGAAAGGGAAGAAATTCTGTACAGCTGTACCCAAACAAAGCCTAAAATGACAGTGCCAGAAATCAAGGCCCACTCCCATCTCACATATGGGTCCCTCTGAGTAGGTTCTCTCTAGCAGAAGGATGGAGCTCAACACCAGCAAAAGGAAGACTTCCTGGGCAACTCAGTATCTGCCTTAGACATGGCACGCCTTAACAGGCTGAAAGCTCTTTATTTCTTCTATGGTAAGGCAAGAGCAGAGGGTAGGGGTCTGCTAAATACCTGCGGTGGTTGAAGTTACTGGGGTGGTAGATAGCGGTGTGGACTGGCTTGCGGTAGGTGAGGTGGGTTTGCGTGTGGTAGTAATTACTGGCTGCCAGGGTGTGGTGGTCGTCACTATTGTTGTGCTGGTGGTGGTGGAAGTTGCAGGTGGTGCTGGACTCGGTGTAGTTCCACAAGGAACTTCTTGCCACTTACAGCAGGACACTCTGATTTCATAATTATAGCAAAGAGTCCAGATACCGCTTTGCTCCTCGTTTTTACAGATTAGTCCATACGTAACATTACACTCCACTTTCTGGCCAAGCTCCTCTAAGCTTGTATCAGGACTATGTTTAGCCCTGCATTCAATTTCTTCAGGAACTTCACATATTTCATTTCCAACTTCATTTCTAATTGCATCGTAGGTTTCATAGTCACCACCATCTTCTTCAGGTTTACTAACGTCATACCACTTAGTCCAGTTACAAATTAATCCAAGGCATGAAGCTGCAAGAGAAGATGGAGGTTCAGCATACAGGCTCACAGATGATATTCTGACAAGGTTATGTTTTTATTCTCCTCCATTAGGGGCTAAAATAATGCACTGCAACACATAATTTTAGCAAGAGAAATGAATTCAAAAATTCAATATTATCAGGTTTTTCAACCAGAAGCTTCACATCAAAATAAACCACCAAGTTGTAAAAGCCTTCAAAGAAAGGTCTTTCTTCTCTCTAGTCTTACCATATTTTCCTATGCTAGGTTTTAAAACTGTTTTTCTGTAGTAGGCCATCTTTAACTTATCCTTCCTTTAAACGTTCCTTCCACATTTTACAATATCTATTTTTTATATTTAAAAAACTTACTTGTAGTCCCTGGAGGGCTTGTAGAGGTAACTGAAATGGAAAAAAAAAGTATTACTGCAAGTTTATCATGTTTATCATTATCATCTGCAAGTTTCAGAAAAAATTGTAAAGGTTGTTTTAAATATTCTATTTATAATTTTTTGATGAGACGCTGAAATAATTGCTATTAGTGTATTAAATCATAATATTTGCTTTAAGATCCCAGGAGGATACTGCAACATATTTTCAGAATTACGAAGGCACACAACAGTACCTTTATAGATATGATTTTCTCCGTGAGGATTACACCATTATAAAGTGTTTCAAACCTTCTTCGTGCAGTGTAGCAAAACTGTTCATAAGCATCACTCTAGCTGTTTCAACTGTGACAAGCCTACATATTGCACACTGTATCTTTAAAGTACTTTTCTGAAAGAAGATTATATTAGATATGTATCTCTGTTGAAACTTTACCTGTGGTAAGAGTACTAGTACCAACGGGAGTTGTAGTGGTTGCAGGCGAATGTGTCGTCACACAAGGATGAATACTTTCAACAACTATAGATCCATTTTCTCCGCACATATACCTTATACATATGTCACCTTCCTGTTTTTGCCCCACAAATTGTCCCACTTCATATCTTGTTCCATTGATCACACAAGGACAGCCTGTAAGAAAGAGCTTTACTGTGCAGTTTTTCTGCTGAATCTATCAGCTAGAAGAAAAAGGCATAATTCTTATGAACTTTCCCAGGATACAAATCAGTACTTTAATGTGTCATGCTTGCTCCTCCCAGAGCTATATCTGAAGTTCAAGATCTATATGTCACACTGACTTATCTTTACATTTAGAGAAAAGTCAAAACATATACAATAAAGCCTTGCATAAAATGGCTTGGAAGAATAGGCTTACAAACCACGTTTTAAAATACTTTAAGAGAAATAACACCTGCAATTTAGCATCAGATACTTTTCTGTTACACCACATGTTCCAGGAGGGTAAAATCTTATAGAGAAATCTGTTAGCTTGGAGGTGGGAGAGGGGGAAAGAGGAAACAGACATGAGAGAAGTTGAGCAAAAAGTACTAACAGCAGCATTCAACACAAGTGCTGCCCAATTTTCTTTTGCCACAACTTTAACTTGCACTGGAAAAAATTATTCCAAATCAATACTAAGCCTTTTGTAGAGGCATACATAGCAGTTTTATGCCTCTTTTTTCCCTTTATTTGTAGAGCCACCCCCTCCCCCCAACATTATTTACCTTGGACTGTTGTACAGTTTGTGATTCCTGAGGAGACACAGACACTAAAAAAGAAAAATTTCAAAAATTAAAACATTGTAAACCAGCAGCAAGATAATTCTAGAAATATTTTCAGATGTTTTATGGCACTCTGTTAGCATGATTAAGAGCACAGAAACGTACAAACTTGTCACTCGATCTTCATTCATACAACTGTATATTTTTCTGGGTGTAATGCTTTCCAGTATTGATACTGTTATCTCATTCCAACACAATCACCATTTTGCTGTCTTAAAGTACAGCGCCTGAAACTATCATGAACTGCTTTGTGTTGCAAGTTGCAACAGTGTAATAACAGCTGCTCTTTGGGGGGTGAACTTTCAAACCAGAGCAGTTGTTTTGCCTCAGCTCACCACGTGGATTCATAGATGTCAATGCTATCATTAGTGAGACGCTGAGAGAGAGCAGTTAGGACTTGACTATCTCTTTCAGGGACAGGAGAGCTCCTTTGAGATTACAGTGATTTTGAAATTCTAGTCTTAAATGCAAATGCAAGACAGATTAGCCCCCCTGCTCCTGAAGAGCCAGGAAAATCAAAAGGTTGTTCTAGAGACACATCCAGACTTCATGTCATTGTATCATTTGTGACACTTCTGAAAGTAAATTTAATGATGTTACTAATATATTTACTAAAAAGACACCATCAACTTGAAATCTGGAGTATTTCAAATTATGGATCAAAACCTTAGAAAGTTTATGTCTTTCAAGTGGTGCTTCAACAAATTTTACAGTTTGAGTCTCCTCTGGAATAAACTGACTTTGTTCCTCTGATTTGTACAGATAAATACTAATATATACCAGCTCTTCATTTAAAGTTGCTTCTCTACTTATTAAAATACATGCTTAAGGCTTAGTGAAGAAAATGATAGGCTCAGCATACATAAATTATTTCCTGGATCACTGCACATGTTTTTGCATTTCTACATACCATCTTGTACAGTTCTCTTGTGTAGGTATTTCTTTCCCAGGTTCATAATAAGTTCCATTGAAGTAACACCCACAATCATCTCTGGTCTCACATTTCTTTGTCTCTTCATTATAAATGGGCTTCTCTGGAGGGCATCTGGGGTAGCAACCTGTTGAGATCACAAACAGCGCAAAGTACAAGATGAAATAAAGAATAAAGTTAAATCAATGATAGGATATCTTCTGAAGGAAAATCACTATCATTAACAAATGCTGCTCACTGAAACAAGCACAGGGAAAGAAATGGAAAATCCCTATTGACTTTACGTTAATCCCTGAACAATTAGGCTTTCCACAAGATTTAAATCTGATGATACTGGGGTGAGACGGCTTGAATAAGACTCTACTCATGAAAAGCAGGAATTTTTTTTTCCTAGTTCAACACATTGCAGCAACCCTTAATTTACTCTATATTCTATGGGCAGCTGGTAATTTTTAAGACAAAGACACTTAACTATTTTTCTGATATTCAAACGTGATCACTTTCCCAATAATATTTTTGTTAAGAATTTTTGTTAAGAATATGAAAGTGGATTCAATAATTAACAAATTTTTCATTACAATTATTGGAATAGCAGACCTTGTTCTTGCACCTTTACTAGACAAGCTATCTCCACCCGAAACAAAAAATACATCTGCGCTTTCCCCTACTCTCTGCCAGTGACCCAAACCCTACCGGCAGGGAATTAATCATTTCTCAGTCCTCATTGCATTTCTCATGTAAATACACATTTCATAAATTACCACGTGCTGCTTCCCAAGAAATAACTGTCATAAAATGCCCAATTCATAATTACATTGAGTCCTCTTTATACTATACTGGACTTGTAGCCTATGAACTGAATATAACTAATAAACCAGTAATAGTTAATTGGCAGCTAAAAGTCACTTTGCACTACCAGACTATGCTAAAAATGTCCTAACAAAAGAAAGTGTGTCCTACATTTGTACTGAAGATAAAAAACAAAAATAATTTTGAAAAATAACTGGACATCCAATAATCTACCTTCTGATGCTTTACAGGTTTCTTTGATAATCTAAATCGATCTGTTTCAAAACATGGGTCACTTTAGTTTTTTTTTTTTAATCAAGTACGTTACCAGCAGTACAAGGATTAAAATAACCAAGCTAAACTCAGGGCAGTTCTTTCCAGTCCCTACACTGAAGACAGCCGCTTCTGGTCCAGATCAAAAGAAAAGACTGCGTGGCCAAAACCATGCCTGTTTTCTCCCACTTTATTCTATGGTATAATAGAAGACATTTATATCCTCATTCACATTCTTAGGTCGTTAAAGTTCCCATAACACTACTATCACAAACCCATACCAAAGTGAAATCCCTTTTCAGTTATCAAGTGTAAGGTCTTTTTCCTACTTAAATCACATCTCTACATCCTCTGAGGGGTTCAATGGGATTTAAGTGGTGTCTGTACCTTATGCTGGCCCTCTTAAGTGAGAAGGACTGCGGAATAACCTAGCTAAGCTTCACATCTTGATCTTAAAGCCAAAATAAAAATCGCAAAGGAGATCCATTAAGAAGAGAAGTACTAGCCTCCAGATAACATGTTGTGGTTTCCATTAAGAACCCAATATACAGCAGCATGAGCGTGTCTGACACCAAAGATATTTTCCATTGTAATGCTAGGCGCGCACTGCGTAATAATTTAACAAAATCAAGATGCATCCGACACATAACAATAATTAGATTTAAAAAAATCCCAAGCAGTAACATGCTCCTTTATGATGAGAAAGGTTTTCCTTCTCTTGAGATACCCTTAGGATAGGCTACAAAATTACAATGGTGAAATAATCTCGCATGTTTCAAGATACTATCCAAGCAGAGACTTCGTTTTATGCATGTTAGCAAAGTGACTATCATCCCCTTATGTTTACAAATAATAAATTACAGTATATGAAATATTTATGCAAGACTGGAGACACAAGTTCAACCTAACAGAACACTAAATGATACCTGAACAATGCTTTATGAAATAAAAGATAAACGTGGCCGTGAATTTATTACCTTCCAGGTACGGCACTGAGAAGTTGGTGCTGACATTATTGATCATCTTGCAGGTCAGGATGTCACTGCCACAAGGCTCATAGTGCCACTCACACTCATTACGAGGGTTGTAGTAGTCACAAAATATTGCTGATGAGAAAAAGCAGAGGTCGATCAAAAATGCAATTGCGAGAATACAGCCTGGTTCTTGTCTTTAACGGTACGTGCTAAATAAATGTACGTGATAAGCTGGCACTAATTCGCTTGAGACCTGAACCACCTTCTGTTCTACTGAGCTTTTGGGGGGTCATAACTCTGGAGCCCAGGATTCTGATGTTAAACACCAGAGCTGCAGAGGGAAAATGTCTTGATTCAAATCACAAAAAAATTCAGAATCAGTGTTGATTTTAATTTAAAACGAATGGAGAATTTCTGTGAGTTTTTTCTTCCCTATTAGCCAACTCCTAAATACCCTTGGGGTATATTCAGAGCAGTTTTACCTTCCTGTATCACACGGGTCAAGAGTCATCTCCAGCAGGCCAAGAACAAGCATATGAGATTTTATGGATAAACAGAATTCAGCTTACTTGACTCTGGACAGAGAAAGGAACTTTTGTATGCTATAAAACAGAGCTGGCTGAAACTTTTAACTTCTGTTGCACTGACTGTTTTTCACACTTGAAAACTGGCCTTACTTCTGAATCAGAATGAATTTTTTAAATTCAAAAATTTGACATTTCTAGCACTTGGAATCTCAAAATTTTGTTTCCAATACTGTTTTGAGGAATATTAATTTAAAGATTATTTTACACTTCTGTATGGCATACTAGGATGAGAATTAGCCCCGCTAATGGACACTGCTTAATACACTCAAGACAGATGAGGTGCACCCAAACAGGAGTATATCAATATATAATTGCTAAAACCAAATTCAAAATGGGAATTCCCATTCACCAATTAGATAGCAAAATGGAAGGATCATTTGAAATCCAGCTTTAATATATTAAAACATGATAGCCTCATTAAAACAGTAAAAGAAATTCACGTATGTTATTTGTGTACTGCAGTTCTGAAATACATTAGTTAATGTTTGTTACTAATGTAACAAATGAGTTCAGTTCTACGAAACAACCAGTTCTGTTTCTTCCCAGCTATGCTGAGAAAATAAATCACATTGTACAGCCAGCATAACCCTGGATTAACAGAACTCATGATTTATTTGATGTGCTCTTTGGCAACAGCCAGCAGGATGCAGTTGTGTTTAACTGTTACTCACGGCATATATCAGGAGTTCTCCAGAACACACAGGCCTTAGCCTTGATACATTCTTGAGCATACGCAGCAACTGCTGAACAGAAGCATTCACAATCTCCACCACTGTCACAAGAGCAGGCATCATGAACACAAGCGTCATAGAATGGAGTTGGGTCCACCTGTTGATGAAATGATGCCTCAGTTCATCTCCAAACTGGTTTTCTAACTAGTAAACTTGCAAGCTCAAAATAACATTTCTTGAGGGATGAGATCTGAGCTGGGCAGGTGCAAAACCGTTTCTAAGAATTACTAAATCTCAAACAAACATTACAGGCTGGAAACTGCTTACTGTATTTCAGATAATAATAGACTTGAAGTAGCACACCACCTTCTTAAGTTATGATCAAACAAATAAAATACAGTCTTGGGCCGTTTCCGCATCTTCTCACAAGAATTCCATTTTATTGCTCTCAAAACCAAACCGGATTGATGTCAATAAAATCATATCTTCCAGCAAGCTTAGCCAGTCAACTATTGAGCAACCTCAGAAAGGCTGCATTTCACAACAAACATGAAGCAGAGTTCTGTGCTTGCCCATTTTTGGAGTTTACCCAATCACACACCAGCAAAGCCTTTCCACCTTTTCGTTTTGGACTACAAGAGGAGAAAGCCTAGATTGGATTTCAGTCCCTCAAGGAATCAACATAGAAACAGGTATTAAATCAGTGAAAATCTTTGTGAATTTTCCACTGTGAGATAAGCATAAATTATTGTTAGTATTACTGTATTTCAGGTAAGAGACAAGGAAAAGAGAGATTACACTGTGCTCTGAAAGCTGTAAGCACGACATGGCATATACGTTGATATGATTTGGATGCACTGTACTAGCAGCTATGCACGCCTAAACTGCATGACGTGGCTGAGTTCCAAGAAGATACCTTGGGTGGGTTGAATATTACAAGGAGCGGTGGTCTCTGCAACGGCCACCTTTCAAGCATAGTACGTGTTTCTGTCAGACGATGGGTCTGACGATTACAAGGCCTTTCAGAATTCACAGTCTCTCTATAAGCGACGGTACAACTGCTGCACGCATAGACCTACCCGGGCAATATCTATGAAGCTAACCTACGTTAACAGTAGCAGTGAAACTGCGGCGATGAATATGGACTTGTACAGCCTGTGCTGGCACCTCTGCTGCCACAGTTCCAGTGCCCCTGATACTCAAGCCACTTTGATTAAGGCTAGCTGAAGCGTCCTGACACCTCCATATGCACTGCAAACTCAGCTGAAGATAACTCTATTTAGCTGTTTCTTCATTCATTTCTGATAGTATCTTTGTTCCTGTGATAAGGTACTGTGCTGTCCCATGACATACGAGCTCTCTACAAACCTTGGAATGACAGATTTCAAAGACTGCGCTCCGGATGAGGTAGCATTCCTTCTCTGCCCAGGACTTGCGATGTGGTTTCACACTGCAGGGCAGGATCTCTTCTGTGACATCTGGGCAGGTATAAGACTGTTTCCAGGAATTCCCAAACTCCAGAGCACTAGTCTCCTGCAATCCACTCCTTGTTGTAAAGTCATTGTTGGACTTGCCATCAAAGTTGCCACAGAGACCACACACTTTGCCCTGGACAAGGAAATGAACACATCCACAGCTTTTAAATATACCAGGGAAGTGAGAAACAGACTCTACTAAAGTAAGAAGAAAATACTGACTTTAAAAAGGACAATTGATCCTCCCTATAAATTATGTATTTTCATTTTTATTTTCAAATCATTTTTACAGAAATTAAATCTTCATTTGTCTGTCTACTTAGCAAACTACTCAATTGCCCATCTCCTCCCTCCTTGAAACCTATTGTATCTCATGTATTTCCATGTCTCTGAGGCCCTTCACCCAACTTATAATGCTCAAGAGTGGCTAAACTTCTTTCCAGTTGTGAAAAACGGATTTATTTCCCATTCTTCTTGATTTATTGTAATTCAGCTGAATCAATACTACTAATAAGAACCAGAGAATATGAATCTGCTCAAAAACATCTGTATTGTAGCTTCTACTGAACTGACACCATTTATTTACCCATTTAAAAACAAAAAAAAAAGAGGCAGTCACTTTTTCTCAAAAGAACTCTGCTACCTACCCTCAAGGACGGGACTTCTGGTAGTGCTAATTGAGATACATAAGCCCCTCAAAGAACAGTATGTTGCTGTTTGTACAGCCTAGCACCTCCCCATTCAGCCCAAAGAATTTAGTGGTCTATAATTCAGCACGCTGGTTTTCAGAAACCTATAATCTCCATACATTGCATAGGGAATTTGAGTCTAACTCAAGCCTGAGGTTCCATGCAGGTTTCCAAGTGCATACACACTCATTTTGCACCCCTTACATTACTTTGGATGCTTGGATCTTAATATTCACAAACTCAGAAAGCCTTAGACACTTTGCTTTATTGCAATCGTATACTATGCAACCTCTGCAATGCATTGAAATGGACTGTAGGATACTACAACAGCACCCACTACAAGCTATAATACTAAGCTATGTATGAATGACCAGTGCATAGAGGTTATAACAGCAGTACTGGGAGGCAGAATAAAAGATCATCCCTGTTTCCTTATCTCATCCATTCATACTGTTACGTCAGAAGAAGACAGACAGCTCCTTACTTTGTAATCAGGGGTCAGCTTGATGAAAATAGTAGTCTTCTTATCCCAGATAAGCATCACGCCATTGCTAGCCTCAATAACGAGGTAGAGGCCGACTGTCCTTTTTCTGTAATGCACCTCATCACCAACATCTCGCTGAATTTCTTTATAATCCTTGTTCTCCAACTTCAGTTCAGTGTTCTGAAAGGTAAGAAGATGAAAAATATTACAATACTAAGTCTTATAAAGGCGTCTAAGACCCCCTTAACAGTACAACTCAATCTGAGACTAAGAGCTCAAAGTTTGTGGGCTAACTTTCCAAGATGACACAAAGTGGTACAGCACCTTTGTCTGACAGGGCTAGAACAGGTCTCAGTATCTGAGAACCTATCCCTTTACACACTGATAACCTTTACTTGTTACAGGTGGCTTTAAGGACATGGCTCAGTACTTCTACATGTTTGGTGCATTACTTTTTTGTTAGCTAAATACTTGGTGTATACTCACTGAGTATCATTACTCACCCCTAGAAACATTTTAATAGCCTTTGAGCAGGTTACTCCTGTAGTTCCACATGGGACATTCTCTGTGATGATACTGAATGAGCTGCTAGAATTCTTGTCACCACAAAAATCCTATTAAAAAATGAATAAAATAGCATAAGAAAATTAAGTAGAACATTTAATTTTGATTTCAATCTAAAAATAGTTTAAATGCAATCATTTAAATCTCCACAATGTATAAATTGTTATCACTGCTCATATATAAAATTCTAAATACATATGGATTAACACACAAACACACACACACACACACCTATGAATACACACAGATAGTAATTACAGTCTTGTTAGTGCCAAAACCTGGGAAACAAGCAGGACAACAGAACAAAACAAAGAATGTGTTTTAAATAAACCTATCCTTGTTTTGTAATCTCAGAATTTTTATTTATTTCACATGACTGGTGATGATCTGTCAGCTCTCACTATAAACTAGTCCTGTTACACAAAATTTATAACTGCTTTATCAGAAGAACACATTCACACAACCTGCCTGGGTTGAAAATACAGAATTTATCAAGGCAGAAGCTGCAAACATCTCAGGAACAGCGACACCAGACAATAAAGAATGACAAAAATCAAACAGGAAAGTGCATTCTCAAGGCAATTTGAAAGCACTTCAAGATGGTAATTCAGCCCTCCTCATGAATATTACCTGAGTAGCCACATATTCACAACTCCCATCAAAGTCATAGAATTTTCCATCAAAGGTGATATAATGGCCACTTCCATATATGGTACAAGTCCCATAGCACACACCACCTTTGGTACAGCTCCAACCTCCTCTTTGGCAGATACTAGGAGAGAGCAGAAGAGTTGAGTTTTCAGATTCCACCAACAGTGTGCTGTTTGGAAAACTGCAGAGCAAACCACACAGCTACGTGACACAACAAGATAATGTGCGTTAACACGCTTCTGTGTTACAGAGCGTCTTATGTCTCAACTTTAATAGTTTAGTCTGTTTTAAAATTATTAACTCTGGACAGCTACATTTCTTCAATCAGTCAATGATCACATTCACAAATGAGTACACTTTCCCAATAAGAGGTTGCTTGCTGAAAACAGGTAGCTGGCCACCCCCGTATTTTCAGTACAACCTGTATTTCCTCAGATGTCACTAAGTACGCCTGAGAATAAAAGTTTTACACTTACAGTGATCTTAGCCTAGGCATGACTACTAATTCCCTGCATGGATTATACGCCACAAGAAGAGAGTAGAAAATTACAACTTACCAGGTTTTGCAGTCCACTGTTATTTCATCTCCATGAGAATACCACTGATTGTTATGAACACATGGGCAATCCTTCTCCTCAACACAGCCCTCTCTCCCATCATCAAACAGACCTTGAGGACACACACAGCCTGAGACACACTCTGCCTGGAACTAAGGAGTATAAGGAGAAAAGGAATTGTTATTTTATAAAACAATCACTACATTTTTCTTCCATTTCTTATTAAACACTCATGAAATAAGCTGCATTTATGAACAGCTTCATATTACTTAGTTTTGTAAGGTTTTTCTTTCTAGATTCTTGACTGCCTAAGAACATGAATCGTATTTCACTTGGGAGGTGTGCCTCTACTGAAAACCCAATGAAAAGAAAAAGGAGGGGGAAAAGAGGAAAGAAATGGACTTGAAAAAAGGGAAGGGGGAAATGAAAGGAAATAATTTGTTATTTACAACTGCATTTCCTGGAGTCCTCTGTTGCAGTGCGCCATTTAGAGAAAGGAATCAAGACTTGGAGAAAAAATGACTACATACATGATCAGTTCGAGGAGTATGACAGCTAAGTTGTACTGGTGTTTGTGAAGTCCAGTTCTGGAATGTGTTGCAGTCAAAATATGTCTTGTGAGGAGGACATTCTGTTGAATAAAAATACATTGTTGGTTTAGGTGAATCAAGATGAAAGAAATGTGTGTGAGGAGTAGCAGCTACTGAGACACAAACTCCAGGGAATGTCAACTCTTGTAAGAAAAAGAGGCTCATCAGAGACATCAGAACAAAGTGAAAACATATAACTGTTTCACAGAAGGAGGAAAAAAAACCATGCAAAACAAGGGGAGAATGCAAATAAGAAGTGAAGTGTTGGGTTTGGGTTTTCTGTTACCTACTATAAAGAATGTCCCTTCCCTGCCGTTTTTACAGTTACTGAAGTGCACTGGAGCTTTGCATTTCGACAAACACTACCAAAGAAATGAGATTTAAATTAATTAAATAAATATTTATTTAAAATTTATTGAAATTCAAAAAATGTAAGCTTAGTGTCTTCAAGATAAATCTAAGGATTTTTTAGTAAAAATTTGACAGTATTTATCAACGATATCCTGCATAATTTTTATTGATATTTCAAGGTGAACTCTGTTGAAGTGCACTTGTGAATATTCACTCGGGGAAAAAGTCTGGGGAGATTTTAGGCATAATGTCTAGAAAGGTTATGATTTTAAGGCATGACTGCCCTTTCATTGATCTTTTACACTGTGCTTTTTAATGACTCAGAAAACAGGTAATAATGCTAATTTAAATCAAAGTCTTCATTTGGATACACAGTAAAGTTTCATGCCTATTCAAGTCATATGCTGCAAACTTGGCCTGTATGCCTAATCTCCCACTTCACCCCTCCTTGGGAGGGAGGGAAGTAGTTCAATGCAGCATGAATCATCAGTACAAACAGTGATTCTGCAAACAGTCATCAGAATTCATGATAAAACACCAGCATCATGAAAGTTGCTTTCAAAAGCCTACGTTACAGTAAACAGATTATCTCAGGGACTTTCCTGCAGTGGAAAACATTAGAGAAACAATACGTATCTGACAGAAAAGCAAATAGCAGCATAACATTATAGCTGGGTTTCTAGCTTCCTTTTTCCTTTGCTCAACAAATTGCTATTGACAGTGCAGCTTCAGGATCACATTCATCTGTGAAGGCCAGTACTCTCACCTCTAAACAAAGCTGTATATCTCATTTATTAATCACATTACAACAGGACAATGCTTTGCTCAGCATGAAAATGGTGTGTAAAAAACTAGAAACGTTCATTAAAGCACCATTCAGAGCTGGACAGCTTACACTTAATAAGCAAATTTTAAAAGGGCTTTTATCCTCACAAACAAGAAGCCACAATAAAACATACCAACGCTCTTCATCTTTTGTGACATAATCCCCTGGTTCCAGGTACGACCCCTTGTAGTAACATGGGCATTTGGAGATGGGCACACACGTCTTCTGATTGTCTAAATAGGTATTATCAGGGCAACCACAGCCATCCACAGGAACAAAGTCTTGCAAGCAGTGCTTTTCACCATCAGCAACTGAACGACAGGTTTGCTGGCACATTGTAAGATTGTAAAGAAAGATTTGGTTTTCTGGGCAGGCAGACACTTCCTTAGCTGGAGGGGGGGAAAAAAAACCAAACTGATAAGTAAGTGATGTGGAAAGGACAGTTTAATCCTGACATTTTTCTTTTTGATGTCTTAGCTTTGCAGCATGTAATGGTAAAATACTCCCTTAGATTCTATTAAAGCATAAAGATACCCTAACTCGCAAGTAATAGGAGTTTAGCCTTGTTTACCACTTAAGGTTGCCACTGAAAGGTAGTAAGCTTCATACTCTAAAGGCAACTTTTTTCCTTAAATGAGGATGCATGATTCCTACCACTGAAGAAGAAATCCATTACCTTTTTCAGGGATTGCTATTTGTCCTTTTTCATTAATTGATTTTGTTAAGCCCTACTAATAGTTACTATTTGCATAACCATATCTTTTTCCATTGTTTTGCATACTGATAACCCTAGAGAGACAGTGCAATATAACAAAATTCTATTCTCAAGGACACTATACTGTTGCTGACAAGCAAATACAGTAACAGAAAAGGCACTTACAAGTAAAAGCCATGTAAAAGCCATGAGGGTTGGGATTCCATTAGCCAAAGAGAGAAAAGGCACTACTAGTAAAAATGTGGAAAGAAAGTGAAAGTGAAAAATAGTACTTTCTGACTTTTAAACTTGTTTCATGAACCAGTGACAGCTAAAGAATATCACATCTACTAGTAAACATTCCAAGCACTGTCTCTCTTAATTCCATTGGACATTTCCAAGATATTCCAAAACCCTTCAGATCAGTGTAACAAAACTCAAGCAATAACCTATCCATTCCTGCCGGATAGTTCCAGAGGGATTACAGTTCCACTACTTACTGCAGACAGTTTGTCTCCAGCCTCCCAGTATGATCCCTTTGAAAGCACAGGCCCTTGAGTAAGAGGATAGGGCAGCACATAAGCATTCTTCACTGTCCTTGCAGAGGCAGGTGTCATATTTACATTTCTGAAACGAGAACCAAAGGGTTAACAAACCCACAAGAGAGCGATTAGTAATTCCAACTCATCTTCTATGAAATATCCTGTGCCCTTTTTCTGATGTAGCTTTTAGCCTCTCCCAGGATCAGAGAGCAATGGAAGGAATGAATTAGTTCAAGGACTGAAAGTGCTGCTTCATTTCATTCAGAACGAAAAAGTCTAGATGCTTATCCTAACCTGAGCCAAGGCTCTTGAATCTCTAAAAAGTAACCGGTCTCCTAACAACACCTTTCTTAGAGGACAATACTGAACACAGGTGAAAAAGATACCATGAAGAGTCTGGCATGACAATGATTGGGTGTTACATTTCAACTAGTAAGGGAAACTTTAAAAATATTTTACTATTTTTTCTGACTTCATAGCAACTAATCTGTAAGGGTAGACTTAAGCTGTCTGTGCATAACTACATCTCTTGAATTCTCCTTTCCAGTTGGAACATTCAATAAAAACATACATTAAATACAAAACACAACAAATCAAAAGAACAATAATCACCTTCTTCTAAAGCAGCACTTTGTGAGAATCCCTTTATAGGACTTACTTTTGGATACATGCTATGCTGCCTCAGTTAATCACTGTAAAACCTTCACCAACTCCTACTGCCAAGCGATACAGTAATGTCTCAAGTGTTTGAACTATGGCCTGTGTCACCTGTTTGAAATAAACCAGTCCTAAAAGGAATGCAAGATTACAGTACCTTATAATATTCTGAAGGATCAACGACTAAGTGACATCTGGCAAAAGGACCTTCTGGGTTTTTCAGCAAAGAACACCAATGCTCAGCATAACTTGCTACAAGAAAGAAGGGGGAAAATGAAATTATATTATTACATTCATCACATTCACTTACCTTTCCTGTGCCATGACCATTTAGGTTTTCACATATCAATAAATGCAGTGCAACAATACAAATGAGGCAACTATATGGATTTTGGGGAATGGAGAAATTACATGCAGCAACTGTACAAATCTATCTGTTCTCTGATTCAATTATCTAGCAGCAGTCACACAGTCATAGACTCACAAATCGTATCTTACTACTGCAAGCTGTCTGTATGGAATTGTCGCAGACATTTTCAGTTGGGGACTGTAAAGCCAAGTTAAACAGAGGAAGAAGTAATACCACAAAACACAAGTTGCCTTTGCCCATAACATAAAATATTGCCCAGTCTTTCAGCTCAAGATTCCTCTGCAACCACCCCCCGAACTTTTACTCCATTCTGATGGGAAATCAGCGTTGGAAGGCATACATACCTGCAGAAATGCATTATTAATTTGTCAGTCCTCTAAAAAAGCATTAGTGCCAGAGCACAACTCTCACAAGCCTATTGCAGTAGTTCACATCAGGGGCTGCTCTTTCTGGCAGGAGCCACCCATCTGACTTGTGACCGTGCTTACCGCTTTCAATGCTGAGACTGCAGGGGTCTTCCAGCCGTTCCAGCTTGTCTGTGCAGGTGGACTGAGCTTTCCACGTGTTAGCAAAGGCAGATCCTGTAGCTTCTACCAGCCCACTGGCTGTTTTAAAGTCATCACCTTCTATTCCATTAAAATTCCCACAAAGACCTATTGAAAAAGGAAGCGAACGTTTTTTCTAACTATTACTTAGTTTTATTCTAAAAAGTCAAAGGGGGAGGGACAACTGATCACAAACATTAGAGACAGAAGTTCACACACCTGATTACTCCACATCAATATTAATGCACATGCTAAGGACAGAAGATTTAGGAGCCCTACTTTAAAACTGTAAGCTCCAAGAAGAATGGCCCTCATGAAGAGATCTCTGCTTCAGGAGATCTCCCCACAATCTGTATTTTTTTATGCTCTTTGATGAAACAAAAACCAATGCTTCATAAGCCTGGTTTTACGGATGATTTAAAGCTAGACTGAATAAAGAAGTAAGGAATATTCTAAGAAACATTTATAAAGCGGCACAGGAGTGACAGGTCACTTTCACATGAAATAATAAAAACTCATTTCTAGTTTGCTTGAGTCAATTTTCTTCCAAAGTCACAGCTTCTGCCTTTATTTTCCTTCTGTTGAATCAATAAATCGCACAAATTACCACCCATGTAAAGAATACACAACTCTCCAGCTGTGGAACAGCATGGCTTTGCTTCCCATTTGAGTAGACACTTGCCTTCCACGTTTTCTTTGGCTGATGGACTCACAGTCGCAAACAGTTGCATGACTGGAAGCAACTGGATCTGTAGCCGAAGCCCAAAAGAAGTCTGTACAATGAGGTAGTAGGAAGATGGCTTGAAAATTGAGAAGCTGGCTGAAAAACAAAACATGAACTGTGCGGTAAACACACACACACAGGCCACTGAAAGTAATACTTTTTATTAGACTCTGAGGTACCGCTTGGCCATGAAAACAGCATCAGAACAGCATCAGATTAGTCATTTTTCCTCTAAAAATTGCTGGACAGTTAGACACCAGTACCAGTCCCTATCAACTTAACAAGTTAATTACCTACAACGATTCAGCCCTGGCATCAGAATCAAACTCAGATTTTCCGTAAGACAGCTTCAGTGCTAACCTGTTAGGGCTGAACAGGCTGAAGAGATTTCCTGAGAAAGCACTATCCCCAACATTGTTGTATACAGTGAGTAATAGGTGTTTCTCTACAAGTCAATACATAGCTATATGTATTACTACTAATAAAATCCTAGATCCTCTATGCTGAGCAAAATGCATGAGAGGAACAGACCTTCTGGTCAGTGTCCCTGGTATAAGCCATTGCTGCATACTTCTGGGAAAGGCATTGAAGCCCCATAATAATCTGCCGCGTGGGATACTACCCAAGAGCGCAAGTTGTTTTTAGCTAGTAATCAACTTACGCTCTGATCCAGTGGGCTAAGACTGCTTTGCCTATTTGGTAATAATCCATTTCACAAATAGCACATACCATACCGTATCAAAATAAAGCCATTCATCTCAAAATGCTACTTTTCAGAAGACTGGTTTATTTTGGCTGTAAGATCTTTTTCAGTGACTTATAGTCCCAGAATAGGGCTTCTCAGCCTATAGTTTGCAAAAATTTATTGGATTGGAACCATGGTGCCGTTTTCATATTGCTAAATGACAGAGTGCCTTCATATGGAAAAAGGATCACAATGTGGTAAACAGATGAAAATCGCTGCCTCAGAACAAGCTGCTATGACAAAACGTGACTCAGGATAATCACCTCTAAGAACTGAACTGAGCAGATGTTAAATCAGCTACTCATGTGTCTCAACTTTTCATAAGGTACTCAGAAACAACTAGAGGCAGTGAAATTTGCCTATATTTCAAATGGGCAACATAATATAACCCAGCCATTATGGAAAAAAATGGTAGAATTGACATACCAAATCAACAAAGGCGAGGAAGCAGGCTTCCTACTTCCTGATAATCATTTCTTAAGGCAAATCTATTTATTACATGATCTATTTATCTACTTTATTTATTTTATGGTCTATTATACTATACTGCTTATTGTCTAGAGCACTTTAATTACTTTAAACTTTACACACTGTAACTGTTTTTATGGAAGCATTCACAAACTTCATCTCCCATGAATCCTTCATCCTCCACATAAAAAATTACTTCCCAAAAAATATTTTGTCATCAGCAGATGGGTCTGTAACTCAGAAGCAGAACATACTGTGTCGGTATGCTGCTTGAACAAATCTGAAAAGGAGCGATAAAGAGAAGTTTCACATTTGTTTGGAAAGTTACTCCATGACCTAGCAGCTGCTGTCTGATAGTGACAACGTGCCAGTACGTAGGCTCCTAAGATAGGAGATCTGTGTCACCCTCAAGCGTCTATCTATATCTGTTGATTGTTTTAAAAGACGTCAATGTCTCAAGAGAACTGGGAGGATGAGGGCGTGCTATATAGCACACCTTTCTTTCCTGTCCTGGTTCTCCAGATCAAGGTCTTGGCCAGAAAGTACAGCAGTTACCTTCTGGTCTCTGCTGCCAGGCTTCCTTCCCACAGCACACAAGGCATGGTGAAAAGGAGGGGTGGGGTGGACATGCCGGAGCCTCACCATGACTAAGGGCCAGGATATTCCCAGAGCGTGTACCAGATTTGGAAACTGCTAAAAACCCCACTTTGTAAAGTAGACTAATTTATCTGTTTAAATTTAGGTCATGACAACAACCCTTTCCCAAGCTACATGCCAAAGTATTCTGAAGCTGTATGAAAAAAAGTGAAGGGCTGTCTTTTTCAATCATCCAGTCTGACTAGGAAATTCTTAGTGAAAACTAAATCAAAATCACATTCTTTCCCAGGCTGTCTAATTACATTCCAGTTAATTCTTCTTTCAAAATTTGAAAAAATTTCAGACTTCTCATATGCTTCTTCTTCACTTTTGAATTTAAAAAGATAAATTGTTTCATCACATCTACATTAGAAGTTGGCTGTGTGACACATGACATATAAGGCTGTGTCCTTTACCTGACACATGAGGCACGTTCACTGTCATCTCATTCAGTAGCACACTGCCATCCGATCTGAAAACCACGACCTGCATAAAAGCAAATGGAAACAATGAGGCTCCAGGTACTGAAAGGGAGCAAAATTAATAAAAAACTAACCTTATCAGAGGGGAGACAGAGAGAAGCAGCACAGTTTTGCACAGTTAGGCTGTGACTAGAATATAAAGTCTAAGAAAGGGAAAATCTCTGAAAATTGAATGTGATAGCTGACTTGCGGGATACAAATAAGGTTTGGTCTTGCTAGCTGGTGTTTCATTCACTCCTGCCTAAAACAATTTATAGCAGTAACACAATGCAGAGCTCATTTATATTGTTATAGCAGTAACACAATGCAGAGCTCATTTATATTGAGCACCTTGGTTTTGGCAAGTAGAAGAAAACATTTGGCCTTCAGGAACAATAGCAAGTTCTCATTCCCTATAAAAGCACGCGCCATGGCTTTAGCGTAATGGCTTCTTATGATTCGGCATGATAAGGAAGCAATTGGTTAAACTTCCTCACAAAATGCTAATATGTACATACAGGAACATAAAATAAGGGTTTTCTGGTTTGTTTGTTTGGGGTTTTTTCCTAATTATGCTGGCAAAGCCATGGAAGACCAGAAACCGAGTAGGAAAATTACGTATGCATACATATCTACATACAATTATGTATCCATACAGTATAGGTATTCCTATATCAATCAGAATACTGAAGTAAATCAGAAAGACTTGACAGAAATATGAATCAGGCATGCATGCAAAAAGGTCAAAGATTTCCCAACACTTTAATTTTGATTACTAGCAAATGAAATTCAAATAGTTAAGAAGGTTGGGTTGTATCAGCATTCAGAAGCTTGGATCTCTTCTGCAAGACACTCAATTAGAGCCGCAAAGTTATATCTGAATGAAGTAAAATACTGTGAGGGGACGAAGAATGGTACTCTTTATTTCCAGCCATCCTGGAATACAATGAGAATAATCATACAGCGCAGAGAAAGGAAGGGGAAAAATGTTAACTTATTTGAATCTCAGCATTTGTTCAGCTTACAACTATTTTAAGTTTTTGAGGTAGAAGCTTCAGCTGTTTTACAGTCATTCTGAACTGCCTCATCTATCCACACTAAGGACTCCAAAACATTCTTACTGCTCCTCAGGAAGGGAAATTTGCTACTTTTCAACACACCAGCAGAACTCACACAACACTTACATTTTTTTTATGGTCTACTAGCAACACCACAGTCTTCAAGCAGGTCTGCCTGTCTATGAAGCCACAGGGAGACAGCTCTGCCAGGAGGGCATAAGAATCATTAGCAGTACCCTGCAATCACAGGGAAATAAACATCCATTAGTCCAATCAAACATATCACTCACAAGAGGATCTCTAAAACAAAGAAAAGATTGAAATCATCAGTTGCAATAACAAGTAGTGCAGAACTTAGTAAGACCTTCATTTCAGCACTGTCCCCAGAAGCTGAACTGCCTTTCAAAATTTAGTGGTACGGTTTCTAGATCAACATCTTTGTCATCCTCTGTAAGAATAGGCACCATATATTTTAGGGAGAGATGGATGAAATAACTGCTTAGCCCCTTTCCCTAGCTGACTTTGCCACTGAGATACAGAACTAGCTATTACAGACCTGCCTGAAAGCTCCTAATCCTGATAACTGCCATTTCTGCAGTCTACCTATCCAGCCAGTGCTCCTCTGATTCCTTGTACAGGAGTACAAGGAGCACTCCACTGGACGCTGACAGCATACCTAGTCTGCTACGTGATTAAGTTAGCCTCCCACTGCACTAAGCATCCACAGTCCCTCATTAGTCACTGCACTGTGCATGGTGGTATTACAGCCCATCCTGGATTTTCCAGTGTGGCTTCTAACATTTCTGCTTCCCTCACCTCAAAATTGGAATGAAACAGCAATTCGCAGCTACTACGTTATCAGTACACAGACACCTGCATTTACTCTATAATAGAAAGGCTCTTTAATACACAGTACCTTGGCCAACATATAGTAACAGTCTCCATGGAAGGTGTATTTCTTCCCATCAAAGGTGGTAATATGAGAACCTCCTTCCACTGAACATATGCCTGGACAGGGTAAATCCCTGCATGTCCATCTACCTGAATCACAGGTGCTGTAAGTAGACAAATAAATAACCCAAAAAGATATGTAAATATTACAGGAGCTAAGAGCACTGAAAACATCTGTATGCTGAGCAGAACAGAAAGACGTCTCCGGGTGTTTCGATACTGCATCTTTGACCGTTTACTTAGGATTTACTTCCTCTGTATGCTGTAGATAAAAGAAAAACTTTCAGAAGTAGATTGCATAGCCATGCAACATAAGTGTAAGTTCAGAGCTTTTTCAGGAAGTCTTCTACAGCTAGGTAGAAGATTGAAAAGGACAGATCCATGCACAATCTTTCAATGAAAGGTATATAAATAACCATGATCCTTACCATTCTTCACATTCACTGGTGATGCTTTGTCCAGGTGAATATCCCTTTCCATGGAGCTTGCAGTAGCACTGGCTAACAGGTATACAGCCTTTCTCAGTGATATCATCATACACAGTTCCTGCAAAGCACAACAATTAACTATTCTAGCTCATTCTGAAACAAGATCATTTTCCAGAGAGGAGAAACTCTCAGAGTAGGCATGCTCTCACCTTGACACATAAAACACAGGCTAAGGTTATCAAAATTGGGAAGAATATTTGACAAATTTCTACTTTTTAAATATAAACCATGTGGAAAATTCTTCTATCCAGCTTTGAAAATCTAAATCTACCCATTCACGTAACCGTACACAAATGATAAGTTCCATAGAAGTATACAAGAACAATCTTAGAACTTTATACGGTTAGATATAGTCCTTCTGGAATATGCTGTAGACTATAATTGTCATGTTACTCTTTCTAAGGTTGACAGTAAGCCTGAGAATTTTACTCTCTGGGTAAATGATGGCCACTGTATCAGTGGACATCATCAAGCTAAAAGCATGATTTTCTACTTATTGGCAAAGATCCATTTGTTCAGAGCTAAAAGTAGATTTATGACCAAATACATATGACCTAGTCCGTGTGTCAGTAAGATTTAACTGTAAAATCATAAATTAATTCATCAATGATTACCTTTTTTTTTTTTTTTTAAAAAAAAAAAACATGTGAGAATTATATTCTCCTGGGGGCAAATTAATGAGTAGCTGTATTCATTTTTAAGATATAATTTGATAACGCTTAATATTTTGCTTATGAATCCCTTTACCTTCAGGGCAGAAACAACCATCCATGTAGTGCTCTTCGCAAAGGCTGCTGATCTCCAAGTGTGAACAAGTATCCATGCAGGGTGAGCTGCTTTCTCTATAGATCATGTTACCAGGACAGGTCTTGGCTAAAAGAATGCGAAAGGCATCACCAGTTATTTGAGTATGAAGTCCATCATTCCTCAGAAACCAAAGATCCTGTCTCCCACTCCCCTCAAGTCAATGGTGTCCCAAGCCAGACTCCATTTGGCCAAGCCTGTTTGTTTGTTGGTGAACTGTTTTTCCCCCGCCTTCTTTATGTTTTCCTCTTTTGGTCTAGAATAGACCAAATGATCTCAGTCATCTGCAGCATCAGGCCTTGCAACTTTTGAACTGGAACAGAATTTCTACTTGCTGAAAAACATTTCTTCATGACAAAAGCAACAGATGAAGAACACAGTATGTAGTTTTTTTCACTACTGGTATGCAGTTTATAATATATGCATACAGTTTTGTAAAAGAGGAATGATTTTAAATGTTTCCCAGTGCTTCATCCATGAAACACTTGTTGCTTCATAAAACGCATATAGCTACTTACGGCAAAAGCGCTGTGTCCTCCATTCACCCGGACGACCACCTGCATGTGAACACTGGCGAGAATACTCAGAGATGGTGCTGCAGAGGCAGAAGGAGTCCTCAATTCCGTTACAGGCACACTTGTCCTGCATGCAGGCTTGGACATACATTTCCACATTCAGGCGTGAATGACAATCAGCAAACGCAGAGGAAGTTAGCAACCTCTCACACTCATCACGCTAAGGAGGAAAAATAAAGATTATATTTACATTTAAGAGATTCGTACATGGTTGAACTTCTAGACAGGTCCTTTCCTATCATAAAAACTATTGGCTCCTGAACAGCAACAATTATTGCAGAAAGGAAGAAGGAACCACACAGAGGTTCCAAAAAATGTGAATTGGAAATAATTTACGTACAACCTTAGAGCTTCCTCTGCTCCTCATGGTTTTATTTCAAAGGTCAGAGCAGTATTTATTGCCTTTAGTGATGGGCTGCAAGCTTCCACCTAGACTCACTGCCTTTTGCAGTATGAGGCTTTCTTTTTCTAAAATTACTACTAGCTGAAGACATAATGTCTGCCATGGAAGGGATGAGGTCTTCCCAACTCCTCACACACTAACTCCCTATTAGAGCAAGAATCCATGGAAGTGGATGTACCCATGTGGAAGTGGAAGAATCCATGTACCCATGGAAGTGAAGTTCACCACTAGGATTACTCACATGCTCGTTACAGCTTGGAAGAGCCTGAGTTTCATCAGGATCCTCACATCTGGAATTAGGTTTGCTGATCTTCTGTAAATTCCCATATGTAATCGAATTGTAGCTTGCGACTGTGAGAAGAAATTACAAAGAGGCCTTGCTAAGCCTAAAAAATTGACAACAAGGAACATCTGATGCCTGGCACTCTACTGATAAAGCAAAATGGTTACTATGATATCAATTGTATCTGTCAGACATGGATCTCTGTTCCAATTATGTCTATCTTAAGCATGCTTAAAAATTTAAACTGACACTGTATTAAGAAAAGAAGTCCGTGCCTGTGGAGGAGGGAACAAAATGATTCACCTGGAATAACATACCCTTACAATGGGAATGCAGTACTGGAACATAATGCTCACTTTGGGGCAATCACAGAAATACCTGATATGGAATTTGCTCTCCTGCGATGCTCCTATGCACAATGCTTATAAGCCTATCTTCTGTGGTAACTATCAGTGCGGTAGTATGACTCACCTCCACTGATAAACTCATTGTAGATTGGAATGCCATTGTAATCGCCACAAAGACCACACGTATAGTTATTGAATTTGCTGTCCAGCTCCACCTAGTTAATTCAAAGAAGGAAAAACAGAAAGGAATTAATTGGAGCATTAAGACCATTCCAAAGCAAATATGTTTATTTGAAAGGAAAGTTGCTAGATGATAGAAGTGATAGTCAACCCAAAACCATTTCTTAAGCATCTCTTGCACTGTAAGTTAGGTTGTAGCATGGCTAATAAACACACAAGTTAGGTGCAAAAAATAATACAGAAAATAAAAAGGGGCTCAAGCTCCTCTACTTCGATTATCACTGTAATCACCATGATGATAGAGAGGAAAAGTAAAGTATTCTTAAAATTACAGGAGTCTTTTTCGCTACCAAGATAAAATTTAAGTCTTGCTATGAATCAAGAAAGCTGACTCTGAAACACCTTTAAAAGATAAATGAAGGAAAATGTAGATCAGATTGTGCAGGTGTTACAGGTGTTGTTGAGTGTAACAAGATCGTCTGAATGCCATACCGCTGCTCTATCACACCACAGAGAAAGGAACTTCACCTTTTGAAAATAAGGTACTATGAGTGCCAGTTGGATGAGTCAGTCTTAACACTCCAGCTCTGTTCAGTCCATTATATTCTATTTCCGTTCAGTCTGTGATAGTCTGTTAAACCCAGGGAGTACTAATAAAGACGACTTGGATCATACATACCATCAGTGCATCCTCCTGATTCCATATCAGAATCAGGCCTAATTTGGCATAAACCTTGGTGTAAATGTCATTGTTTTCAATGAGCACACCAGAGCTGTAGTAAGGTGTCTTGACACTAGGAAGAAAATTACAGGCTTTGTATTAGTACAGAAACATAAGCGGTGACATGGAGGTCTCTTACAGGAGAAATATTCTAACCAATAGAGAAACCATCCTTTGCCTTTTTTGTGTCCCCCCCCTAGTTGATCCTAGTTGCACAGGATGCCCAGTAATGGGGCGTAAAATCCTCTCTCTCTGATACCTGACGTGATACACCATTGCCTTTAAAAAGCAAAGTAATTTCAAAGGTGAATGCTCCCTGAGGGGATAGGTTCTCTAGCAAAAAAAGGTAAAACGCCAGACGCCTTTAAATTAATCAAAGTAAAATGTAGCATCATTGTGGGATTAACACAGGATATTCGAATGCTCACTAATCATTTACTTTTACCAAAGAAATAACAACCTGACTGGAAGCTTTTCCTTACCACAAACCTGACAACCATTTCAGAGAGAATGAACGTTCCGTTGAAAGCATTTTCCTCTGCAAGAGAGACTTCTAAAAGCATAGGCAGGTATGGGGACTGCCAAAAAAAGTAGAACAACTTGTAGAGAAAGGAGCACGTTAAGAGGAATTTAGTCATTTACTGGTAGGACCAAGCTTATTAATGGTGACAGGAAGGCACATTAATGTGATGGAAGCTATTTTGCAGAAGACTGAGCATAGATGTTTTTGTCCAATAAGGAACTATCTCACTGGACATCTCTCCTGTTCTTTTATGTCTATCTTACGGGACGCTGTGTAACACCATATAATGGCACACTATAAATTACTGAACTTCATTCAGTAATAGATGGACTGTGGCAAGCAGTATCATCCTATAAAATCTGAAGAACTAGATGCCTGTTCAAACAGAAGCAGTGTACGCTGGAACCCAGCCAAAACATCAACTCTTTTTCTACGCATTTGCCAGAATAGTTTTTATCACTCAGGATACATGTACGTCTATGCACATATCTTCATAACTAGTTTCTTAGCTGGGAAAACTTTATCTCCTAATTTCCTGCCATTGAGATTTTTCCAACTATTTTCCTCAGGCATTTTTAGTATGACCAAATGACTTACGCACCAAAATGCCAGGAACTCAGAAGCCTTTATATTTCTACTTTTGGCTGCATTGTTCACCCTCTTGTCAACGAGGCCTTAACAGGTCATGGTTTTAGACAGAGATTATAAAACACTGGGCAGCTTTTCACCTTTTAGCTATCACAGCATGAAATACTTTTTTTTTTCTAATACAAGGGTATACACTTAAGGCACCAGTTCTACCAGGACATTTAATTAATCAGTGGATCACGTAGCAAAAGGCAAACTCACACGTTTATCTGCTCTATAAGTTTCACTTCGGTGGTGTGAAATGATATTTTATATGACAACGGGTCATGTGCTAGTTAAAGATCAGTATGGGAAATTGAATTCTACAAAAACTAAACCCCCAATGCAGCAAAAACCAGTTCTACAAGTCTTCTATTCAGAAGGGCTCTATTGTTTTATGAATAATACCTAGGAGAAAAACAGGTTTGTTTCAAGAAAAAAACAAATTTTAAAGGATCTCTAAACACGTTATTTATGGAGTTCTTTTAAGACCTGACTACAGGGTGAAGGGCTTTTTCAGCTGGGGGAAATGACTGCATTTTTCATGATTTCATGCCATTTTGTTATGCATTCTGGTATGATCCTTGGAAAACTGAATGTTATTTTCTATCTTTGAATAGGTTTCTACTGCAGTGGATTCCCCATTTAAGATCAAAAGCTGACTTCTGGACAAAATCCAGTCTGGCAATGAAAATAAAAAGGGTATTTTTTAATAATGCTAAGTCGTATTAATACTTGGCCCAGTTTCTTCCATCTTCGTCTTACAGAGCTACGTGTTAACCTGGGAGTTGCCTCACTTGTTTCAGTGTGCATATTAGAAGGGTTAACAGGAGTAATGGTGGCAGATTCAGTGCCTTATGTCACCATATTATAGGAGAAGATCACAGCTCCCTGTGAAAAAGTACATATTGCCACAGACTAATTAGTTTACACCCCACTCTCCTTTTAACCTGCATTGTATCTGTTATAATCTTATGAAGAATGGCCACTAGGCTTCATAGAATTATTTATGAAGAACAGAAAAAGACACCTCTCTCCTGCCAGGAAAATACAGAAAAAGACCCCAGAGAAATGCATCTTCTTTTATGAGGACCTGCTAGGTCAGACCTTCAGACCTTCTGCTAAGGTAAGCTCAAGGTGGTACAGTAAAACAAATGAAGCTACATCATTTTACCCCAGGGAAAGATCTGGCTCATGAGTTGCATTTTATACTGCACAGTCAGAAAAAGAATGATTCACATAAATCTCTTCCCTGACTTGCTTTTAAATCATCTCTTATGCCAGTGTACAAATCAGGATTAATACTAAAGCCTTTCCCCCAAAGCAGGTTTTTTTGTTGGATTTTGAAGTGTTTCTTTGGCTTATGGAAATGCTTGCAGCAGCTATCTTAGTGATATACAGACAGCAGTGGAAGGAATCGGTCCTACTTTTATCTTCACAGCACATTTCTCTAAAGCACTATTATATCATAGGAACTTACATCTGCCCATCTACCACAGCCAGTTTTGGTGTGAGGTACACTGTAAAGTCCTTGACTGTTATTAGAATGTACTGGATCACAGGATGATTATTGCTGTTCAGAGCACGCTGAATTTGGACAGAGAACTCCCTGTAAGAGTCTCGGCAGTCAGAAGCAAAATTGTATTCACAAACACCAGGAAACTGATAGATGTCTCCATCGAAAGTTTTGAAATGGTTGTTCCCCCAAGTGCTGCAGACATAGTGGCCATGGCTTCTTGTCCTACCTGTTAAGTGATGAAAAAGAAAGAGGCATGAAAAAAGTGAAATGAACAAGGGAGAGTTGGCTGAGGCTAAGCAGTATTACCCAACACGACAGCTGAGGAATAACGCTTACATAATGTTCAGCCACGCAGCACAAGTGAGTCCACAGGAAAAGAATGTTAGGGTATACAGTAGAAACCACTTTTAGTTATGTGCATAGTGATTCCACAGATCTTCAGCCTAGTCAAATACTTGTCTATTAAACAGAAAAGATGTGAATCTCTGCAATGGATAAAAGACATTAATAAACACTGCTGGGACCGAGGTATTTCTTGTACTGTTCACTGAGGTGAAAGAACTTGCCTGCATAAGGTGGGGAAACAACCCTCTGACTGCTATAGAGCTGGTGCATCAATACAATGGAGGTTGCTTTGCCAAATGAATGAATTTATGCTGAATCTCAGTAATAGTTTAGTAAATAATTTTATATTTATTATTTCTAAGAGTTATTCCCTTCCTTGATCCAACATGCACTAAAAAAAAAAAAAAACAAACAAAAAAACAGAGCTAGGAAGCACAAGAGGAATTTTTAAAAATTTCCTTCTTTTTCTAACAGAGGCAATTTCTATTACAACAGACCCCTGAAGGAAAGTAAGATAGGGCAGAAAATAATGACGTTAGGAGCAAAATAAAGAAGCAATAGCAAAAGATGAAGCTGATGATCTCAAATTCAAGTTAAGTCTCAAGATGTTATAGACTAGGGATGAACCTGAAAGCTGAACATACTTGAGAAGCCTGCCAAGGCACCGACAGCACCCATGCCACTCACCTTCTCATGATTATCTAACAGTGTTTAACTGGAGAAATCAGAACTACCAAGAGAACCTCTAAGTCACTGATCTTCCAGTGTTATCAATCACACCAGGTGCATCCAACCAAAGCTGGTGTTATTAGATACTTCTCTCCTCAAAAGGAAGACTATACAGAGATTCTCCCAGAGCTCACAACTGGGATCCCAAACACAAGATACTGCTTTCCTCCCATTGTTAAACTCAAGACATGGGAGATCAAGACCAATATCTCAAACCTGATCACTGCAGAAAATGCATCACCGACTGCTCTAAAAATACAGTCTTGAATATGAGAGCTTTTATGCTCTTCCAGAGTAACCATGCATACAGCCATCCTTTCTCTTCATCGCTACAACAAAGAACTTGCCAAACTGACATAGTTTTCTTTCTGCCAAGCAGTTACCATACCTAGGAAAGTCCAAACATATAGAACGAAACGTTAACACCGAAAAAAACAGTTTCCTAGCATATTCCACCTAAACCTGAGAAAAAAACTTCTTCCCTGTGAGGGGTGACAGAGCACTGGCACAGGTTGCCCAGAGAGGTAGTGGAGTCTCCTTCCCTGGAGATAGTCAAAACCCGTCTGGATGCGATCCTGGGCAATACGCTCTAGAGGACCCTGCTGGAGCAGGGAGGTTGGACTAGATGATCTCCAGAGGTCCCCGCCAACCTAAACGATTCTGTGATTCTGTGATATTGAGCTAAAGATTAATGCAATAGATTCAGGCACTAGCCTCTCGAAAGACAGCAGTATCTACCTACTTTGGCTCAGTCACGTAGCCTCCGTATTTCAATGCTAAAAATTTAAGACATTTTAAAATTCCAGTGCATTATTTAAATGCGTTGCCTCCTTCTACCTTTGCTGTGGCATGTTATTCTCTCCCCTTTTCCAGTAGGCAATCAGCCACCGTTTCATTTCTAGAGCTTACCTTGTTTTATTTCGCTCGCACAGGAAAGCACCAGCCAGAGCATAAAAAGGCTGGCAACTCTTAGCCCCATGGTGGCTAAGGTGGGTGAACTGGGAACACCTCTGAGAACTTTTCCTTATATAATACCCACTGGTGCAATTGATTCTATCACAGGGGAGGAGATACAAAGAGAGGAGGAAAGGGGACGGATAAGAAAAATAGGTGTGATATTTACAAAAGATAAGAAGCAAACAGATAGGTATTTTGCGCTGTAAATGAAGAAATTTGGCATACAGGAAATGGTATAATATTGAGTCAGTAATCATGCAATTTTTTTATTGCTCTTTTGTATTTCTTTGCCCTACAGGATGCTACTTCTTTAGATCCTTCAAACGGTAACGCCAAGTTCAACTTTCAGTAACTCCTATAACAAACAGTGAATTTTGAAGTGGCTAAACAAGAAAATACCTTGAACGAAGTTTAGAACGGGATACCCCCAGACAACGGCTTTAAAGCCAACAGGTTTTTCATTTTTCACCATCACTCAGAACTACTTCTGTGAAGACTAAATGATGCTCATGAAGCTCCTGGTACACAAAACCAACCCTTGTAACAGCGAAATGCCATGGATGGGAAGATTATTTTACAGGCAACTGCTGGATTCCATTGATTAGTAAACCTAGGGTGCATCTAAAACAAGATACAGCCCATACAGCACATTACTCCCTCAAAGTAACTAAGATGAGGTGACATGGTAACTTCAAGGAATTCAACAGCACAAGACATGGCTTATCAAACCTTGTCACCGGGCAACAGAAAGCCCACCAAAAAAAGTTTTAGGGCCTCTCACCACATTTTAAGAAGAACAAAAAAAAAGGGAGGGGAGGGGAACACTACTGTCCACATAGAATAACAACTCAGATTTGTTTTCAGACAGAATCCCCTCAACAGCTCGTCCTTGCTTACCCTTTAAATGAATGATAATGTTAGTCTCCTGTCTAATGTCAGATCCTACAGGAAGGTAAATGCTCAGATTTGCCCCATGCAGAGGAAGATGAAGAGGATCCTTGTGAGAGCTGCAGAAAGAGGTACCAGGTCAGAATGCTGCTTCAGAAATAAAAAATTTCCACATACACTGTATTTTGCTCTGCAGAATTTCTCAGAAGTGTTTCTGTAACTCTCGTCAGAGGACAAAGCACAGGTTCTGTCAGAGAAAATATACTTGTTTCAGGAGATCTTTTAACACAATTGCTTCATAGCACTAACTGAGTTTACTTCTTACAGATACCAGGCCAAGGTTCTTTATTTTCTCAGCAAAAGTTTCTCATTGCAGTGTCTAGAAATCTCTAATCCTCTTAATTCTTCCGAGTTTTCCTTATTCCTGTTGCTCAAATTACAAGTTAAGTAGAACTTTCATATTTTGCAAAACACCAAGGAAATTCTTCACTTAGTCCCTTTGGCTGCTCTGGTCAATCAGGAGAACCCCCCCCTTTGCGGTAAAAGCATGCTTTTTAGTTGTTTTATTTGCTGTTTTGCTTGTACTGTAGGCACAATTACAGCCTATCCTCATTCCTAGGAACTTTCTGTTCTACTTCTTCTGAAAGCATCTAAAAGGGTGTTACGACTTTCTGCTTTTTCTGTTTCAGGATACAGATTTGCAGTTCTCCCACCTATACATACGACAACATTCACTCAAGAGCCCTGACTAAACTTAAGCACTTGCCCTTCTCTCCTTTTGGAGTCTTTCACTAGAATACAGAATTAATATTTCTTCTTGGAAAACAAAAATAAATACAGTAATAACTAACTGGAATACAGCATTTAGAGGAAAAAAAAAGATATTAAACTGCCTGTAGAGACCTCTTTCTGATGCTTACTTTAGCAGGTCTAATTCTCATGACACTTTAGAGACAGCTATTGTCTTGGAATTTTCCTTTTTTTTATACCATCAAAACTCTTATTTCAGGCATGTTTCTCAACACATTTCTGAGTTTCCTGAAGGACTTTATTCTGAGCTTTTCTATTCCTCCCTATGTTTTTCCAGATAGACGACTCCTGTCTGGAACCACTATGGTCCCAGAAAAAATATCTCCATGACTTAGCTTACATCTTAGCCATGATTTAGTTAATGATATTTGGAAGTTGTAACAGGAACTCCTACTACACAGCAGGCCTGACCCTTTTTAGATTAAATTGGATGCTCATAGCTATAAACTGGAAACTTGCCTATTTGCTCTTCAGCATTCTTTGCCACTTCCTTGCCTCATTCATTTACTAGGACTGTGCAAGGTAATGATGAGTCACCTAGAGAAGTGCCATCTCTCATTCAATATGCAGGTGTTTTCTCCCTAGGGCACAGGAAGAGATGCACCTTTCTTCGGGTGACTTGGATAGGTCTAAGAGCTACTCTTAACCAAGCATTACTAGATTTTAGTGACTGATTTTCTCTGCTCCAGCTCTGGACTGCCTGTGTAGGGAGCATAGAGATAGAACAGGACTACTTCCCTTCTCAAGTCTGTTTTTCCCTCACAGGATTACTTCCCTTCTCAAGTCTGTTTTTCCTCACAGTGATTGTACCTTCTCATAGCCTCTCCTTCTGACACACAGAGTTGTGGCTCACTGTTACATCCAACCTGGAGAATAAGGGAAGGCAATATGTCTTTGAGAATTTTGACCGCTCAATTTGTACTCAAACCAACATGGGTGCGATGACATGAGGAGAAATGAGTGCAGCTCCTCATCTTCACAATTCATAAATGTATTTGTATCTTTGCTACCATTAGAAAGTATTCTAAACTTTTCCATCTCTGTTTCCTTATTGGCATGAAGGTAATGCTCCTGTCTACCAGTTGCTTTATTTGCCTTTCAGAAATTATCAGTATGTGAGCCATGAAACGTCTATTTTCTTTCATGCTCAGCAACCTTAAAGCTTGTTGGTCTATGCATTTTAATCCAGTGCTATCTGACTTTCAAAGCACAGGAAACTCCGCATCCACATATACGCATTAATTTACTTACTATAAATTTTTTGACCATTTTTTGATCCATTTCAGAAAAAAATAACTTTGCTTTAAAAACGCAAGTGGCATCACCAGAGCAAATGATAAGAAAGGGTGTTTTCATATCTAGTTCCCAGTGCTGAGTCTTAACAGGATTTTTTTTATTTTTTTTATTTTTTACAAAGTTCCTGAACAGGTCCATGAATAGAAAGACAAGCACCCATAATCTTCCACTACACACCTGAACTAGGTGCTTTTAGACCAGTGTTTTACAGGCAATGCTACAAGTCAGGTTAAAAAAAGTCAATTGCATGGCATATGTGTTTGTTATAGCAACAGATGCCGGAGGAAAGATAAAAAATAAATGTAGAAGTGTGTTTTGAGTCATAGCCGACTTTCACCACTCAAACTTTTATGAGACTGTTTCTAATCATTCTATCAGCATACCATAGCTATCTCTTATGTTCAAACTAAATACAGTTGAAATTTATTTTATAGCATATTTTGTGTTATAAAGAGAATCAAAATGGAAGTTACACTTAATTTTGACTCGCATTACAGATTTTCCTATATGGAAAATTTATGGTGCTTTAAGGCAAAAATTGAGCAGAGAATTGTCTAGGCTTTTTGTTCTAGGAAGAACATGTAACTTTGAGAATTGTGAGCCTGTCTCCATCTGTGAACATACCAAGCAGAAATCTCATTGCAGAGTCTTGTCACAGAAATCCCAGGATGAAAACTATACAAATCCCTCAGAAAGGACAATTACATATGGTCACTGATACTTTTTCCATTTCTTCTTTCACATTCCTAACTTGCTTTTCATCACAGGCTAACTGTCAAGCCAAGAAGCAATGCTCCATCAGTGAGGGTGCTCTGCAGAAGTAGCTGTGGGATTTCATTCTGCCACTCTTCGATCTGTCAGCAATCCACCACAGCATACAAATGCTTCCAGGTGCCCATTCCACTGCATGACGTGCCCATCACTCCATTTATTTCAAAACCTGCTCTCGTTGCCAAGCACAGCAATGTGATGTCCACGCTTCCTGGTAGCCTTTCTAAAATAGATTATGAGTTAAGAGATGTCTGACAAGCAATCATTGTACTTGCTTGACTGAGACACCAGTAAGCTCCCCATAATGCACCATGACAAAAACCTAAGAAAGTACAGAGACAAGCAGCAGTATGCTGAACAGTGGGTTCTAAGGAAGTTTTATAGTAGTGAAGCAGAAGCACTGGGAATACACTTCATTTTGGCATGCTGCCAACAGATTAACCTAAAATTGCTGACATGAAATAGGCCTTTCTTTATATGGAGTTACAACTGGTATAGAATTGCTAACATTAGTGTATTTGTGCTGTATGTTATTAAATTATTAGCAATAACCTGCAAAAAGCATAGCTATAACCAATATACCGCCCTCTCAGGCTTTTTTATAATGAGGAGATTGCTAGTGGTTATTTTTACAAATAGAACCTTAATACATAGAATGGCCATTTAAATGTATTCAAGTAACACTCAGGATTTTATGCCAGAAGAATAAATCGAGTGTTATGAAAACCCACATATCTTTGATTGATTCTGGCTGCCTACTAGGAATGGCTTCCTACCATGTAATTAATTATCAGTCCATAATTTTATCCTAAGGTATTTGTTTTCTGGTAGGTCTAATCTCAGCTCTACTACTAATTTCCTCACTGTGTCCTTGACCAAGTCTTTGGGTTTCTTGGCATTCTTTATTCAGACAAATACTGGGCAAGCCATACAATTGTGTAAGTTACCTGCTGATGCTAGCTGGAGCATTTTCACATGCCCTGAAGTGGTTTTGCATAGAAATTTAAAGATTAGCATCCATTCTCCAGCCATAATACTTCCTTCTCTTTGTCAGTAGCACATATGGTATTTGACACCTGGGTTGCAAAACTTTTGTTTCTCTGCCAGTTTAAGTACAAATGACAAAAAACGTGTGACAGCACAACTACTGGAGATTGAGAACTGATGTACTAAAGAATAACCTCAATTAGTAAATTTCTGTATTCCCCTTCTAGAAAAAGGTATGTCTGTGAAAAGCCTCAGCACGACAGCTTCTGTATCACTGCACAGGGAAACATACCTGATGATTTCAAAAACAATTAAAACAGTTCTTTCCTCAGGCATCTGTGGGATTTAGTATAGGGAACTGGATATAACCAAGAAGGGACGACACAGAAGAGTGAAAGGGAATTACACTCAGCATTCCTTTCTCTGGGTAATTTTGTCTCAGTGGAGCAGGATTTTCTGAATCTTTCAGTCTCTCCGTAGGGGACACGGAAAAGAAAAACGCTGGTAAAACGCGTATTTTTTCCTCAGTTTTCCGAAGAATTTCCTGAAAATACAGCTCAGTAAGAAACTGGGG